ACAATACTTTTTATTGTATTATTACAGTGTAATTTATTACAGTAAACAACAATTTGAATAAAAAAAAAACTTGCTTATTGTTCCAATGTGGCAGTTTAAAGCTGTTACATCTTTAAATGAGCTATGTCACGACAAAACCAACATAATGGGTTTGTGACCAGCATGGATCCAGACCAGCCTGCGCATCCGCACAGTCTGATCAGGATCCATGCTGTTCGCTTACAAACCCTATAGCAAGTAGAGAAACTGATAGCGAACAGCATGGATCCTGATCAGACTGTGCAGATTCGCAGGCTGGTCTGGAATCATGCTGGTCGCAAACACACTATGATGGTTTTGTCATGACGCGGCTCAAATGTAAATTTGTGGCATTTTGTTTTAAAGTAATTTAAGATAAAACATTAATTTGTTATTTGATTTAGAAGTGTTATTTCAGTGCTACTTTTTCTACAATCAAATCTAAATGTTATCGATATTCATTTGAATGTAATAAAAAAAACATTGGGTTTAAAAATAATCTAATTTATCTGGAGGACAAGGTTAGTTTAATTGAATGAACTGATTTCATTATTTTGATTATTTTCAATGGGGAGAAAGAACTTTACACAAAATGTACTTTTGTTGCTTTTTCCGTTGTACTTCAGGGATCTTAGACAAGTTGAATTCCCCAGTGACAATGTACATTATAAAGAATATTCAGTGTAACGTTTTAATACAGTGTAACCCATGAAGAGTGACCACCTGTGAACAATGTACATCAATAACCTGTTTACAACAACAATACTGATAGTTTCCAAGAGAAAATAATTGCATAATAAGCTGGTTTATTTTTGAATTCCATAATTCCACAATAATGAGCATTTGGACTGAAGGGCTTTTGAGAAGTAATCCCACTAAAAATATCTATATTTTCATGCAGTTGGGCATAATTTGAACCTGAAGAATCATGATTATGATGTCTATATTTGAGGACAATAATGTACATGTAAATCAGTATTGATGAAGGATAATTTCTTTATTCTAGCTCAACTGAACTAGAACATATTCCATCCTCTCTCACAAAAATTGCTAATCAAGAATGCAATCTCAACTTCATTTATAGACAGAATTCATATTGATTTGGCCAGTTAGTATTACATGCAGCAATCTCAAGTTTATCTATTGTACTCTTGTTATATGACAGACATGCGTTTTGTCATCAATTAGGAAATAAAGAGATAGAGACAGTAGAGTGAGTGAAGGAATTAAAAGTAAGATGCAGACTGTTGGTGATGATTTATAACATTGATATAGATATTATTCTTATGGTCAGCAAGTGACAAATAAAATTAATTTATGTCATATAAAGGCCGATACTGAATGAGTGTAGGTTCAATGCAGAATTTATTGAACATACAAGTTGAATAAAATTTATATTATTATGTTAGCCTCTGGCAAAGGAAATATTATTTAATTGAAAGAGTTCAATAAATACAGTAATAAACCTACATGAATATAATATTCTATTTATTACGCACCCAAAAACAAAACAAACCCAAAATCAAGACACCGCCTCCGGTAGGTAACATACTTCGGCGTGGTTCCATCCGAAAGTACGTGTAACTTCTCCAGGAACGATGGTAGGAACAACGCCTATAACTAAATATTTGGGAAAAGGGTAAAACAACACAGTTAAGTGAAATACATTTCACAGACACGCTTATATAACATTAAGCGCGTTTTCACACTTAGTATGTATAATGCAAAATTTTAATGTCAAGTCAGAATTATGGGCCCTGCAATACAATTTTTACGGAGTCGCAAAATAGGCACTGATAAGCATGTATATTAATAACCTATCACAACTATAATTTTTGTGAGGCTGAAATAATTGAAAGCTGCACTTTGAGGTATTTCAATTTTGCATTTTAAAAATAATTTTGTCCAAGTCATTTCATATTGAGGAATATATAAACTATGAATTATGTAAATCTAAATTATGTAAAACATTTTAATGTAGGAACACATTATAAACATGCAACATATCTCTGCATGTGCTCTTGGGAAATGAATTAATGGTAAAAGTGTGACATTTTCATTTTGATTACATATTATGGATCCCTGCAAACACAAATACATAATGCATGTCGTGCAAACACAAATACATAATGCATGTCGTGCAAACACAAATACATAATGCATGTCGTGCAAACACAAATACATAATGCATGTCGTGCAAACACAAATACATAATGCATGTCGTGCAAACACAAATACATAATGCATGTCGTGCAAACACAAATACATAATGCATGTCCTGCAAACACAAATACATAATGCATGTCGTGCAAACACAAAATACATAATGCATGTCGTGCAAAACACAAATACATAATGCATGTCCTGCAAACACAAAATACATAATGCATGTCGTGCAAACACAAATACATAATGCATGTCGTGCAAACACAAATACATATTGCATGTCGTGCAAACACAAATACATAATGCATGTCGTGCAAACACAAATACATAATGCATGTCGTGCAAACACAAATACATAATGCATGTCGTGCAAACACAAATACATAATGCATGTCGTTCAAACACAAATACATAATGCATGTCGTGCAAACACAAATACATAATGCATTGTCGTGCATAAACACAAATACATAATGCATGTCGTGCAAACACAAATACATAATGCATGTCCTGCAAACACAAATACACATAATGCATGTCGTGCAAACACAAATACATAATGCATGTCGTGCAAAAACAAATACATATGCATGTCGTGCAAACACAAATACATAATGCATGTCGTGCAAACCAAATACTATAATGCATGTCGTGCAAACACAAATACATAATGCATGTCGTGCAAACACAAATACATAATGCATGTCGTGCAAACACACAATACATAATGCATGTCGTGCAAACACAAATACATAATGCATGTCGTGCAAACACAAATACATAATGCATGTCGTGCAAACACAAATACATAATGCATGTCGTATGATACATTCTGAAATGATTTACACAATGTTGACACTAAGTGCTGTCATACATGTAATGTAGAAGTTCTGTTAGCAACCTACCAGCGTCTTTAGTTACCAGGGTCTTATTATCATTATATAATTTGTTATGCCAGTTACTTAGAGACTGCATGTAAAGTGTTATACAAAATTAATAGTGTACATATATAGCAACATTGTCATAACTAGAATTACTGTATAACATCAAACAATCATTGATGTATCAGGCTTAAAATCTCCTGATTTTGATTAGAGAGCTAATAAAGACTTTACTTAATTAACTCTTTATACCTAAATTTGTGTCATGGACTTCAACATGCACCAATATTCAGACTGTTTTGGCTGTAGTTATCAGCTAGAGGCAGTTTTAGGCCATTAGCACTCAAAATGTTTGATCATATTTGATGAAATGTTTTCCGCATGTCAAAACATATGATTTTATTCTACTTGTTCAATATATTCAGTATTAAATCTACATGAATATAATATTATTTTGACCGCATATCCAAAAATAACAAGGGTTTACAGTTAAAAGGGGTCAGTTTTCATTGACACACTTATTATTGTAATGCTAACTTGATATGGTGCGATTTAAAGCAAATAATGTCACATCAAATTGTTATTACACTTGTGTAATATTTTTCTTATTTAATGGCTTTATTACACTCCTTTGCCATGGATTATTTGATAATAAAGTGTAAGAATATCCCATAAGAAATAAATATACATATAGACACAGTTATATATAGGTTTACAACATTAATACTTGGGTCAGCATTATGAGGGTCACAAGACTTGTTTTTATGGCACATTATTTTGTTGCAACACTTTTTTTGTCCATGAAACCTTTTACAATTATAACATTTATATAGATTTGAATGCAAACAATCCAGCGTTTCTAGAGATATATCATAGTGTGATATATGTTATTTCTATTTGCTAAAAGTGATAACAGCATCTCTTTAATTACAGCTCTAACTGATACAGACGTTCTCTTTCTCTGAGAGAAAAAAACATTTCTCATCAAAAAAAGAAAAAGCAATTTTATTATTGATGTTGTGCTGTAGGCAGGATTCAATAACAAGAATGAGTATTGGGCTACATCAGTCAAAATGTCTGTCTCGATTGATAGTGTGTCAGGGCAATATCACACCTACTGGAAAAATATTGGCCCAGTTTATCACTTGTCTTAGTTGTTTCCCATTACTTCATTGTCTAATTCACAATCTTATTTCATTTATAAATGAAAAGAGGCTCTAATACTTTAGCACAGTCACTCGTTCTTCTTTCCCCCCCCCCCTCCCCCCCCCCCCCACTTTCTTGATCTTCTCTAAAAAGGGAGATAATTCTGTTGTCATTTCGTCTTTTCTGAGATGGATCCATAATTGATATGTCTAGACACATAGGAAATGCCAACAGTTTTGTTTCGTCCCGAGTATTTCTCACTGACATAGATTTTAAGTAAATCAAAGATAGTGGCAATAAAATGTTCATCGCATAATGTTTTGAATTTGAATAAAACTGAGCACTTGAGTTTTTGTTTTGTATTTAACTTAAATATATAAGAGGTGTTTTTCAGTTCTCTAAGATCCATACTTTTTTAGCAATTTTTTTTTAAATTTATGTCTTGAAATAGGCCTAATCTTATATTTCAGCCTGTACTGGGAAAATATACTTGTAAACGTAATAAGTGAAGTAAGATAATATCAAATGTTAGCATCAGACAGCCTAGAGATATAATTAGTGTGATTGCTGAAGTAAGGTGACTACTTTTGTCCGGGAGAATTTTTACTAAGTAAAAGCATTGTATACTTAGTTGTTTAATGAGAGATAAAAGGCTGATAGTATAAGGTCATGGCAATCTGGTGTGAGTATATATAATAGTGGTGCATGTGATCACAACTGCTAAAATAGCTTGTAAATTGTTATGTTATATAACCATGGTAACATATTGACATATTTTTATATTTACAGATGGTATATTCCGGTTGAAGATGTTCAGTGATGACCAAGGATCATGGATGGTTATGTTTCTAATATCTCTAATCACAATTTTCATCATGTCATTGTTCTATAACCTCTTCCTGATGATAGGGGGCGACGCTACAGACCCGTACAGGATCTCCGATCTCATGGGTGTCCGTAATGATATCTTTATGAAGGCAGCAGCGTGTGGCACTTGGTGTGGAGATTTCTTTACAGCATGGATGGTATATTGATAGTCATTCTTTTACATTGTGCTTATTAAATTATATTCAATTTTTACATTGAATATAAATTTAGAAAGAACTAAAAGCTTATTACAGTCAGGCTCAAACAGTACAAGTTGATAGACAGGCATTTTTGTCACAAGACCCACTGTCTTATAGAAAGTCTTAACAATACTTTTTACACTATGTTGATTGAACTAAAATAAAATATTTATGGTTGGTTCCAGGAAGTGGACTCGAAAGTGATTAATATAAGTTGCAAGAACTTGTTTCACAATCCAGATTTAATAAATATGTTTAAACCAAATGAAATAGATAATAAAAAGAATAGGAATAGGCAGTAACAATCTTATCTAAATAGATCTTAGACATTAGATTCTATAATATTAATGACTTTCCCTTTGTAAATTTAAAGGAATGATTTACTGAAATTCTCAATTGTGCCACAGTTGTTTTGTAATTTAATTAAAATGTTTGATCAGAGTCTGTTCATCATAGTAACATATGGTGCTTGCAGGTTATTTATCTTACCAGTTGGTAAAATTGCTTTATTGAGTAGGAGACTTAAATTAAAATCTTTCAATAGCCAGCTCTGACAGATGCCATTGACTAATATATCATCATGGTATTAAATCATGTTGTAGTACTGCTAGAATTTATCTTGTATGGTATTTAATCATGTTACACTATTGCTATATTAAAACATCATATCAGTATCATGTTACTATATTGCAATGATTTGTTTATCATGGTATCAAATCATATAATCAAAGTATCAGTACAATATTGCAATTGTTAGTGATATATTTTCAAATAAGAAAACCGAACTCATTTTTACATATCTACCTCCAGAATCATCTCCATTTTATACAGACAATGTTAAAGGTGTTAAGCTTTTGGAAAGTCTCTTAAATGAACTTTGTATTGATGACAATGTTGAACTTATTTTGATGGGGGATCTTAATGCGAGGACTGGTATTGTTGCTGAATTTATACAGGGAGTAAACCATTCAGTCGAAATAGATGCATTTGCTGATCTGTTTTCAACAGATGAAAATTTTTCTGCTAGAGTGTCTAATGATACAAAACTCAATACATTTGGTAAAGATTTAATTGAAATGTGTAAATCTTATATATTACGTATTGCCAATGGCCGAGCTGAAGGTGATAACAGTGTTGGCCATTTTACATACATAAGTGGAACAGGTTGTAGTGTTATAGACTACCTTATAGTAACAGATGATATTTGGAGTCGACTTGTTCAATTTGCTGTGGAAGAACGCTCAGAATCATCACATATGCCTATTACATGCAAAATACTTCGTAGAAAATACAATAAAGATTGCAATATAAAAAGTAATGATAATCAACACAAAACACAAGTAAAGCGCAATTTTAATAGTGGAAATAGTGCGGACTACAGAAACCAACTGCATAAAATGATTACACAAGAATGGGTTTTTAATATATCTAACATGATCAAGGACCTTGGTTCAGATATCAACCATATAGTTGATGTATTCAACAATCTTTTACATCAATGTGCTGAATGTTGTAAGAAGCAAACAAAGGGATTTAGATTACAGCAGCCAAAGTGGTTTGACACTGATTGTCGCACTGCCAAATATAAGAAAATTAAATCCTTGAGAGTATTTCGGAGAACCAGGTCTGACAGCAACCTCCAAATATATTTAAGTGCTCGTAATGAATTTAAAACTCTGTGTGACGTCAAACAAAATGAATATCATACTAAGAAATTAAACGAACTTATTGATAGTTCAGCTAATCCAAAATCATTTTGGAAACTTATTAACTCTATATGTGGTCAGAGAAGGACTGTAAATAATTCAATTACTCTACAAGAATGGCAATCCTATTTTGAAGAATTATTTTGTTCACATACAGTACCATTGGACGAAAGTGCAGGAATGAACCATTTACAAGGTATTGAATTAGATGAACTGAAAAACTCTATCTTTAACTCTGAAATAACAGAGGAAGAAATTTATAGGGCTGTAAAATCCCTCAAAGGTGGTAAAGCTGGGGGAGAAGATGGAATAATCCCAGAATTTTTTATCATTGGAATTGATATGTTTATACACATACTTACTCGACTATTCAACAGACTGTTTGATACAGGTGAATTCCCAGTACTATGGAACCATGCTACTATTGTTACACTGTATAAGAAAGGGGATGTCAATGACCCTGGAAATTATAGGGGAATATCATTACTGGACATATGTGGTAAAATCTATACAAGTGTGCTCACCAGAAGAATTAACTTCTACGTAAATGCATACGAAAAAATTCAGGAGCCACAGTCAGGATTCAGAGAGGGTTATTCAACTACAGACAATGCATTTGTTCTCCAATCCATTATTTCCAAACAGATGTCAAGGCCAGGTGGTCGGCTATATGTGGCATTCGTAGACTTTAAGAAATGTTTTGACTTAATCAGACGTGATAAATTGTGGGCTGCCTGTACTAATAATGGGTTTAGTGGCAAACTGCTGCAGGCTATGTATGGGATGTATAAGTCTGTTAAAGCCCGAGTTAGAACAACTGATGGTTTATCGGAACCATTCAACTGCCCAGTGGGCCTCAAACAAGGCTGTTTGGGGTCGCCAATTTTTTTCGTAATTTTCATAAATGAGCTAGTAAAACTCTACGAAAGTTCTTCCACTCATGGAATACAGCTATTTCCAGACACATATGAAGTAAAATGTTTGTTGTTTGCTGATGATTTAGCTTTATCAGCTGACACTGTAGTAGGGCTACAAAGGCAACTAGATACGTTAAAGAATTTCTGTGACGATATGAGTGTTCAGGTCAATAAAGATAAGACTAAAATCATGGTTTTTAAACATGGCGGTTGCCTATCACGTCATGAAAAATGGAATTTTGATGGTACCCCAATTGAAGTTGTTAAAAGTTTTTCTTATGTAGGAACTACATTCAGCTCTAACCTTTCTTTTTCAAAGATGGCAAGTGAACAAGCAACGAAAGGCAAACGTGTACTCATTCACACATTATCGAAACTATATAACTATGGTCAGTTACCTAGACGTGTTTTCTTTAACATTTTTGACACTAAAATAAGCCCAATTTTATTGTATGGTTCAGAAATTTGGGGCGTTCACCGCCAAACCTCAATAGAACTGATACATAACTATGCATGTAAACGATATATGTGTGTAAACAAAAACACTATAAATGCAGCTGTCCTTGGTGACTGCGGAAGACATCCTTTATATATTACAGCTGCAAAGCGAGTTATTCGATACTGGTGCAAAATTGTGAAACTACCTGACAGTAGATTAGTAAAGAAATGTTATAATATGCTATTGTATCTATCAAATAATGGAAAGAAAAACTGGGTTACAGATGTTAAAACATTATTATATTCAAATGGTATGGGTTATGTTTGGGACAATCAATATGTGCAAAATGAGCAGCTATTCTTAAATCAGTTTGTAACTAGATTAAGAGATGAATATTTACAAAATTGGCATTCTCTTATAAACGATTCTCATAAACTTGTTCTTTATGCCATGTACAAACAAAACTTTTCCCATGAACAGTATCTTGATGTATTAGATATACGTAAATTCCGTAGCGTAATGGCACGATTTCGTACGTCTGCACTTGACCTTGAAATTGAACGTGGTCGATACAATGGAGTAGAGAAGCATTTAAGAATATGTAAATTATGTCAAGTTGAGGTAGAAGATGAGTACCATTTCTTATTAAAATGTTCTAGACTTTCAAACATTCGAACACAATTTATTCCTAGAAAGTTTTATGACAAACAATGTATTCAATCATTTGTTATTCTGATGAGTAGCAGAAACCACTCATTAATTAAAAATGTTGCTATGTATATTTATTATGCTCAATTAGAAAGAAAACGTTTACTTGAACAACTTTAGATATATTCTCTGTATAAGAAAATTACTGTATTGATATCACTATATATGCTCTTGTATCACAGTAAGCATTGTATTATATGTATTTATGTCATTTGTTGATCTTGGGCCGCTGGCCATATGTCAATAAACTTTTTGTCATTGTCATTGTCATTGCAATGATTTGTATATCATTGTATTAAATCATGGTACATGATTGCTTTCCTTTGTGTATCAAAGTAACTAAATAAATCATGTTACAATATATTACAATATGTAACAGTATACAGTTATTTCATATGTGATTAAATGGGAACAGTCAAACTGTTGGCCAGAGGTGGAGGGGGTAGTGTTTTGAACTGTTGCCCAAGGCCGTAGGCCGAGGGCAACAGTTCAAAACACTATCCCCAACTGTCATAATTATATATATCTCACGCATGAAATAACTGTTTTATTACCTGATCAACTACTGTTTTAACAGTATTTGCAGAAGAAAAAAGGAACAAGAAAATAGTTTTGCACATATGTTAATAGTTAAACTTAATATTTTAACCATGTCACGTCACGTCTGGTTCATGATCGAGATCGATGAACGCTTCAAGTGGGAATCCTCTATGACGTCAATGACATCAGAGCACGAGAGGGAAACAGTCAAAACTATTGACCGGTCAACAGTTCGCGAACGTTGACGTTTTTAGAATTTCAGAAAACAGAAAATAATAACAAATTACATTTATATAAGGTATCAGGTAATGATACAATTTGTTCATTTATAAACTTTCTTACATTTTGTAGTACAATATTTCCTTTTGTTATTATTTAGGTAACAGACATCATGTTACAGGAGAAGTTGTATCCCGGCTGGGCGCGACCTGTCAGAACCTGGTGGAAGAGAGGCTGGAACCGGATTATTTTGTTTTGGATCGTTGTGCTTGTCACATCATTTGTCGTAATCTTTGTCATTGCCACCGACTATATACAGTGGGACAAACTCAACCGTGATTTCCTGCCAACCAATGAAGTCTCCAGAGCTTTTCTTGCTTCATTCATTCTTGTGATGGACCTTCTTATTGTCATGCAGGTAAATTGATAATTGCATTTGTTATGATAAACCAAGGTAGTACATATAATTTTTAGGCTCTTTTGTCACATCAGGTACATTATCTGCCAGTCTTGTAAGTGTTTAGTGAGTTTGTCACTAGATGACTGGCAATAGATAGATCTAACATAATGTAAGATAGGTTATGACTTTACCATAGTTTAAAAGACTGTCATACTTATCTATTCAATAAAATCATTTCAATGTTGCCTGACAAGATACCAAATTTGTTTTATGAAACTGAGCTTTCATATTCTACATCCTTAAAATGAGCTTCCATATCCAAAGTTATGAAATTGACTTACCATATTCTACATTCTGAAACAGAGCTTCCCTTTAATATGCCCTGAAATTGAGCTAATTAAGCTTCAATATTGTATGTCCTAAAATTGACTTCCCATATTCTAAGCCCTGAAATTGAGCTTCCATATTCTATGCCCTGAAACTGAGCTTCCATATTCTATGTCCTGAAATTGAGCTTCCATAATTTATTCTATGTCCTGAAATTAAGGTCCCATATTATACATTCTGAAATTTAGTTTCCATATTCAACGTTGTGAAATTGAGCATCCCAAATTTAATAGTTGTCAGGGTATTTATATGTAAATTCATGTAAATGGAAAGTCTCTCAAGATAAATTGGTTATAAAAGTATCTCTATTTATACAGCATCAGGATTATATTGTCATAGTCAATCAATATGATATGGTAAATAAACTTGTTGTTATTCCTTACATTTTGTTAGAGAGAAAAATATAGAATTGACACAAATGTTCATACAAAATAGAGAAGTTTGAAATGCGGTCTGTAGGTACTGGTGTAAAGAATGTGAAGCTTATATTATAACAAAGACAAAGGCTAGGTGGAAAGTTGCCACATGACCTTTTTAGAAATATAAACAGACTTGAATACAATAAAATTATGCAATCATACCAGATTTATACAAAACAGGTAATTACTATTTTATTATGAAATTACAGAAATTTACAAAATTAACAGTTTTTAAATTCAAAACTAGACAAAGCTATGACACAAGAATTACGTGAGAAGTGGAGATATAGTTTTCGGTCATTTCACGTCAGTTTAGAATTGAGTTCAGGGTGACAACTGCAATATTTAATTTGATGTAACTATAGTAACCACAAAAATCATAATCAACTAAACTTCACTTAATAAAAACTTTTTTTTAATTGAAGTATACAGGAAGGATTACTTTTAGCAGGTATGAAGTGTATGACAACAGTTATAATTTGGTGAAATATTGATTGATTTCTGATTATTGATAAGTGATCAATTTATCTTTCTTTTGTATGTTTTACTCACAATAATTCGCCTGTCACCATTTTAATGTTACAGTTTGTTTCTTTTCAAAGAATGGATCCTAGCTTTATAGGCACATACAATATTAATGAACAGCTTTTTTATTATGCATAATATGTAAACACCCGTATTTTTCCTATTTTATTACCCCCAAAATAATGGTGTAATGGTGTTTGATTGCTTTTATAAGCGCTTATTTTAGATATTCATATCTGGGGGGGGGGGGCTGAACGGTAAAGGTCACTGAATTTTGTGAAATTTGCGTGGTTTTTGTATTCTATCAATGGCTCCAAATTCATTCAAGTGAGGAAGCTATCCAGCTAGTTCAAGAAACTCAGTGGTTTTACATTGGTTCTAGCTTGTTCCTGAAATAATGCACATAGCGGGGCACCTGTGGTCTTCCTCTTGCAGTAATTATAGAAAGTCAACAGTTGTGACCTTTACAGTATTTGTGTGTATTAAAAAATTTGAAATCCAAAAAAAAAAAAAAATCCTCATTTAGCAGATATCATATGCTGTATTATATGCATACACCTGAATATACATTGTATGTCATTTTCATACAAAATGTAATTTGGTTAATTTGTATTTCGATATGACTGAATGACAATATTTGTATGAACTTGTATTATTTCTATATGATTTAAAGTCACTTAGGGAATTCATCATATCACACAATTGTCATTGTGTATGTTTTCAATTATCTATAGAGTGGCATGCAGGGAACCAGGCATTGTTTGGTATATGAATAAACTGAGTCTCATGATGACATTTATTATGTTTACAGTTTGTTTCTATATTGTTACATGCAGACTCATTTTGGAATGTCACTGAATGTTTATTCACCAACTCACATTTCATTTCATTGAGCTTGTCATTTCATATTTTATTATATTCAACATATTTATAAAAGTAAGTAATTATGATATCTGTTATAGGAACTGAGCGCAATTTGTTCAATATATTTTTACATACTTTATTCTGGTTATAGACCGCCTCTGTGGTCAAGGGGTTAGAGTCGATGACTTCTAATCCAGTTACCTCTCTGGCGTGGGTTCGATCCCCGGGAGATGCTTTGGTAGTTTAGCACGGAGGAAGGTAGTCTATTACTGGTGTAACTCTCCAGGAACGATGGTTAGGAAACTACCCGCCTATATGACTGAAATACTGTTGGGGAAAAGGGGTAAAATGAAACAAACAAACATATAGTTTAACCTTAAATAGCTATATGTGTTTGTTAACGCTGTTACCAAGAAACGTGAAATATTCAGTAATTTACTGTCAATCTACTTAAAACTTTTAAGATAACAAAGTGGTATACAGTGACAAGTGTTAGTGTAAGATTAATCAAACTAGCTCAAATCAAGTCTGCAATATTCAATATATAAATCTTGTTTAATTGCTTCGGATTGTTCACCGAATCTCCAGATTTCGATATGGATGGATGAGGGGAGTGGTTTTTTGTTGCATAGCGTTTTGTAACAAATCAACAACATGTTCATTAATCTATAGATTATTGTATTCCAATTTTCTATGACTGAAAGGGTTATATAAAGTTTCTGTAAATATGTCCAATCTCCATTTCCCATTGTTGATTACATCCTGGGTAATTACAGTATTTGTATGTTAACCTTCAGAGATAAGGGGACATAAATCTTCATAAATACCGCTGTAAAATGCTAACAAACAATAGAATAACTTCCTATTCCACTGGCAGCTACTATTTACTTGGCCACTTTATTGGACAACTTGTTTCATAGGAGGAATATGTATTGGCTTTAAGATAAATTGCCAGCAGATTTTTCCCCCTGTATTGTTCATTAGAGGCAATAGGTTTTTTTTTTACTGATATATCCTAAAGCAGTGTAGATTGATGTCTGGTAAAACTTATCTAGTGTGATCTTTTTTTATGGGCATATGGCTTTAACTTAATTTGGACTTTGGTTTTGCAACAAGATATACCATAGCTTAGATGATAGTAAAACAAGTCTTCTGGAAGTATGAAGTATTATTTGGAGAATTGTACGATTATCTCTTTATAAAGGGTCGTTTTATTGCAGTTATTTGAAGAAAAAAAGTTATTTAAAGATCTCCAAAATCTTTTATTCCTTTAAAAGGCATTGAAATATGTTACCATTTTATAGTCTGCAGTATCTCACAAAATGTCTGCACTTAATATTGATACATCGCCTGCAGGCAACCATTTCATTTTCCGAGATTATTTTAACTCTCCTACTGTAGAACTGTAATGAATTTATCGCCATGGAAACTAAAATGTTATTAATGATAAGGAAAATTGACGGAAAACATCATAGAAAATGTCGAACAGAAACAATTGATTTTGAGAATGTTAATGTCATTTCTGCTTGACAAACAATTTTGATATAATTTGACATTGCGCAGACAGAATGCTTAAAGAATCTGTTAAAATTAATGTTGATTTTTTATGTACCTTCAAATGTCTTAGAGAAAGGAGTCAGGTAGGGGGTGGGGATTGAGGGTGGTATGAGGGTTTCGGTGGGGAGAAATCAAAATTAGTTGCAATTGTTTTTAAGGCATTTTAAACATACCAATAATAAATTATTAACCAAAAAATAAAAATAAGAAAATTTTGCACATGTATTAACTAATTAATTTTGATAAACTTGACAAATTTTGTTGTTTTTTTCTTAACTTTGAAAAACAACAAAAAGCATCAATTTACATAATGCTTAACTGCTGCATGTTTTCATGAAACTAAAATGTCTCAAAACAAGTTATATTATGTCTACATTTTTGAGAATGTTTGGTAATTTGAATATTTTCTTGAAAAAAAAGATACCTTAATTTGATGTTCGGAGTTTTAAGTTTTGGAAATAAGCATTTTATAGATTTTCAATGTTTATGAATATTGTCTCAATGGTATAATAATATTGATTTGTATTTAGAGGGGAGTAAAACGTAACAGCCATCAATGATGACTGAAATATATACTTAACATGAATGTTTTATGTATATAATTATCATTTATATAATATGATATATATTTTAGGACTGGGATTTTCCACATTTTATGAGTGCAATAGACATTAAGCTGCCAGGTTTGAACATTGCACATATCAGGTTCAACATCCCAAAATTCCTGAAGAAAGAATCATGGCAAGTTCATATAACAGGTGAAATTTTTTATTCCATTCTTTAACAGTTTTATGTCAGCTTACCAGAATTCGACATGATATTAGACAGTATAATTATATATATATATATATATATATATATATATATATATATATATATATATATATATATATATATATATATATATATATATATATATAATATGTCCATTTTACCTTTCTATATCTTCCATAATGTATACCCCTTGTCAGGCTGTATTGACTGTTGCATTGTAGTTTACTCAAAGTTTTTGAAACTGTTGCAGTTGTAGTTTCCAACTGGCAGTGCAAAAGGTATTCAGCATGGTTTAACAACTGACTGTCCCAGCAGGGTAGAGTCTTTACCAACAAGGAATTTGATTATCCAACATTCGAAAGACCCTGCTATTTCCCAGGTTGTATTGACTGTTGCATTGTAGTTAACTCAAAGTTTTGTGAAAATATACTGTTTATTATCAAAATATTTGAATATTCTAAAAGCATATTCAATGATTATTTTTATTTTTTTGTTATTTACAGGAAAGTGGTTCAACTATGGTGTTCTGTTTCTGGTAATGTTACTGGATCTGAACATGTGGAAAAATCAAATATTTTATGCGCCCTATGATTACGGTCAGTACACAAATCCTGATGGTAGAATATACACAGTCCAGGATGACTACAGCTTGGAAAACTTCAATGAGACACAGATAACATATTCGTTCAGAAACGCAACAATTAATCCTGAAACTGGAAAACCGTACATAGATGGCGACACTCATATGAATACAAAGTTTTTCGATAACTCAATTGCAATAAAAGGTTTAGCTTTTATTCCAAGCATAGCTGCCTTTATTGTATTTGGCGTTCTTATTTGGATGTTTGGTAGATTTAAGCCTACAGAGCATGACCCATATGCTGGGAGGTTGAAGAAACGACTGAAAAAGAGGCTGTCCTTTAAGAATCTCTCGTTTAGGTTGCCATGGCGACGGAGGGAGGAAGTAAGGAGGAAAATTCATGCTGTGCCTAAGTTGCTGTATTTTATGAGGAAAGGTACGAAAGGTGAAAAAGAGCAAATTGAACAGAAAGAAATTCCGGCTGAAGGGTTTACTGATGATTCTGAAGCTAAGGTTGAAAATAAGATTGAGACAACTGTTGTTGAAGGTCGTGAAATAGAGGAAACAGAGGAAAAAGTCGAGGAAAAGGTCGAAGTAATTGATAAATAGATAAGAAAATCATGATGATTCTTTTAGATGAATACTTGGAAATTATATTATTTTTTCCACTTATGTAATGAATGAATTGGTAAAATGATTTTGTTTGGCAGGTTTGATTGACTTTGTCAAAAGATAACAGGCAATAATTTATATACAAAGGCAGTCAATGATTTTGTAAATAGTATATAAATGTATCATCCCATGATAATTTTATTTGGTATGTAAATGTTTTTTAATGACATAAATGAAGTGGTGACATCCACATTTTTATTCTAAGTTTAAAAAAAAGTTGGATTGGTCATTGAAAAGCATATTGACCTTTCCCCAGCCCATTGACCCCCCATTTGTACCCAGTAAGTTTCACTGAGCATTAACCAAAATATCAGAAGCTGTTATTTCTTTGTGAACAGACATTTTGTATAATTTTTCTGAAGACACGGTAAATTTTCTTTCACTATTTTATTGACGGGTTAAACACTTATGTCATAGTCTCAGTGCAAAACTGTGTTATCTTTATAAAATGAAGGAACAAGATACTTTAGTTTGACTGGAGCCAGACTAGAGATTCAAAAGTCATTATTGGTTGTCACCACTTCCTAATTGATGGATACAAGAAAAATACTGGAGTTTTTCAGTGTCTGTTAAAGCTGATATATTGTGAGGAAATGTCTTGTGTTATCATAATGTCAACTTGGTAATCTTATATTGTCTTATATGTTGTTTATACATATAGATGTGTTCCATGTTTCTATCAAGTGTAGATAATGTGCCTAAATTTTTTCTTTGTACCCATTTTGTAGAAAAAACATACAAACAAACCCTATATTTTACCATGTTTAGAGAGTATATTTGTTATGTGTTAGAAATGTGTATATTTTATATATTGTTCTACATTTTCTGTAAATTGCTGCTGTATGTAGTGTATTGAGGTAGCTACATTGTGTATTTATAAAATCTCTTCATTATCTTAAATGCCATTGTATTTTCTATTCAAAGATGTCTATTTTTCTACTTGCCATTCTTACCTTGATAAAATATATTTTGTAAGATAGTCAGATTTCAAACAAATCACCCAAGTATGTTGATGGAAGTATAATTATCCTAGAGGGTTGGTAGCACCTACAGTAGACCTAAGGCAAAAGTATTATACCAAATTAGCTTGAACATGTGTATAAACTGACCGGTCTCTGTTGAGATCCCTTTATCTTAGCTTACAACAGACTGTTCCAAAGTCCAGTAAGTCAAAGCATAACAAGTATACAGCTAGTTTTTAGATCTGTTTTGTAAAGTTTGTTGAAAGGAAACATGTATTTGGATTTTTAGTTATAACAGCAATATATCACAGTGTGGCTGCAGTTATAACAGCAATATATGACAGTGTTGCACGTTGTTATGACAGACTTGTTAATTAACATCACTGCAGGCAGTTGATTAAATGATCTAGACAGTTAATACATTAAGTTATCTAATTGACAAAGCAGTGCTAATGTATTTGATTGATTGAAGTATGTGATTAAAGAGAGAGATAGACAGTTGGAAACAAATTGCTTTCTGTTTTTTCTCAAATAAAACTTGCAGTGCAGGTCTTAGTTAATACTTTCACCACAGATTTTGTTTAATTTATTTGACTTGCTGCAAATCAGGAACTGTTCATTGTAAATTTTAGGGGTTTTAAGCCAAAAATATTTAAAAAGGGTTGGTTGACTGTATGGGGTCAGGTCACTTGACATGGCTTTTCTGGCTGTGTCATCCCTTATAACCTGTGACATTGGTGTGGGTTTATACCTGCTAGTTTTAAAATTGAAAGTACCACAGGACTGAGATTTAGTAATAAATAAAACCACCATTATTGTTCACATCTATAAAAAGACTATATATTTTAGACTTTCCTGAAATTGAATAGAACAGTAATGCGATAGTTATGTTTTAAAATTTGTAAAGTGACATAACGTGATGTTCTGCTAATGAAGGTAATCAGTTAGAGCCCGTGAAACTTTCTATTAGAGACTTGGGTGATGGATAATTTGACAGAATTTATTTTTCTAACTTGCACTAATTGATAGATGAGCACTTGTAGTTACAGTATTATATAATGGTTAGATCTGTTAGAAATATTATAGATATATAGAGTATAATCATAATGTTATGTCTTGATATTGAAATAAAAACACATTTATTTTAAATCTTACAAATGAATCTACTTAATATGTACTTGTTAAGTCTTTCAAATAAGTCAAAACTGTGTCAATGGCATTATGTATGTTCTGCTGTAACTTCTGTAAATTCACTTCTATTTTTACTATGGGGGCATTTTTTTGTGTTTTAGCATGAACTGTTCTTTTAGTATATTCTATATATTTCAGCATCATATTGTTATTTTAGCATGAATTATTCTTTTCATATAGGAACAAATAATTGGGAACATTTTCTTTCATGATTTAATGTTATTCATTTATTATGTTTTTATAGTCATAAAAAAGAGATATTTAGAATGATATCTTACTTGGCAACGTGCTCACATAATATAATTTTATACAACTTGTTCAATAAATTCAGTATTGATCCTACACTGATTCAATATTTTATATTTAAAATTGTTTAATATCATGGGTCTGTTATACAGTTTGTCGTAGGAGGATTATACATGCAATTAGCAATAGCCATATTAATCCTGCCTGATAAAACTGATAACAGAAAGACAGTAGCTTGATATTGTGTTTGTGCTATAAGTTAAAGGGACTCCACTGAAGTTTTTTTTATGTGACAGGACCGGGAATATTTTTCTGAGAATATCACATGTTCCATTTGATGTAGGTGGTATAGACAAATAACTGGTGTGCAAAACTTTTGATCATTTGCACACACTTTATCCAGAATAATTATTTTAATTGTGAAAAATGTGCCAGAATTGAAAAGTGTTAAAAGGCTTTTCACAAAAATTGGGCTAAGAGTAGCACAAAAATACGATTTTCAATTATTTCAAAGTATATTTCTGTATTAGCTTTTGCATATCTTTCTGTTTTAAGTGAACCGGCAATCTATGAAAGAAATTCAAATTAATGTTTTCATGTTTTGGGATCTCGGTTGAGTTCCTTTAATAAGACTGTTTCTACATGAGAGAGCCTGCCAGCCACACAGCCTATTCTGTATGTTTGGTTTACTGATCTTTGCCACCGGAATTACGCTATGTGCATGTCTATATTGTGTATATCATATAAATACATTTCTATATGTTGTAAACTATCTAGGTGCTATCTCTTCTCTGTAGTCATATTTTATAATGTTATATATTATATTGTTATTTCATTGTGTTAATAAACTACATATATCTTGTATCTTGGTTGCCTATAGCAACAATAATGTTCCATACCAAATTCGTTTTAGTTGAAACCTTAAATTTTATGCCATCATTGTTGTTGTTTATTGAATGATATACAATACAGACCCACTGATATTATATTCTACTTAAACCAAGAAACAGATACTATGTAACTATTGAAGACATTCTTTTATGTTAAAATCTTTTGAATAGAATAACTAACTTATTACAGAAATTTTGTCATCTTGTTCAAAAATATGGCCGAATAAATCACAAAGGGGTCAGTTGAGGTCTTCTGTCACCATTTCAGCTAGAAACTCAAAATTATCTTCACTTCCACTGGTTGTTTTAAATTTATCATGATCTTATTTGGTGTGATCTTTAACAAATGGCTTTTAAACTGGTAGTGCATTTTACTACACATCTTTAGGAAAATATCTTATACAAAAATATATATCAAACAAACATTCTATAGAACAGCTGGTATGGATATTTTATAATGATTTTCAATCACTTTCTTGCTGTTATATTTTGAGAGCTTTGTGTAATATTTTTGTAACTATGTATAGTTAAATTGAGATCACACAGTTTTGTGCTAAGCCTGTGGATATATTGACAAACTGCAAGCTTTGATCAAAATATCCTGCAGTGTCTTTTTCAATCATTTGTTATGTGGCGTTTTTATTAAACATTCACTCATCAATTCAATGTTGTATTTGTAAAATGTTTTACTAGAAAAGTGTCTCAATGCTATTATATTATTATTTTTGGTCCAATTTATATTTACATATCTCAAATTCATCTTTTTTTTCTGTGGCAGACATGAATTTTAAATATTTTAATACATATTATAAGTAACATTGTCTAAGTTTTACGTATAAATTTCAACAGATTTGGGTTATTGTTTGATATTCAAAATTTGGATCTCTAACTTTTCTTATTGTACTGAAGAATGGTATTTATATAATAAATGAACTTGGTCCATAAATTCATTACTAGCTTAAGATTCTAGAAGTTTTATTGTTACTCTGCTACTGATTATATTATTATTATTATACATAGTACTTCCAGGGTCATTTTATAGATTTGATTCATTTTTTTTAAATCACTTTTTGCATGGTATTTGTAATAAAAAGTTACTGCTGTTACAAAGTTTTCTATTCAAATACAACCTAACTGAACAAAAAAATATTGACTGAGCCATCAGTTTTTAATATTTTGAATATGTTTTAAAAAGTATAATAGCCTAAAGTGATCAGTGTAAGTAACAATGATCAAAGCAAAATCAGAATCACTTGATAATGATCCTGGTTACTTTGTGGACACTATAATGTCTGATAATGAGTAACATAGGGAATGTGACAAGGTAGATATACTGTAGAAGTTGCCATGGGTAATTATAAAACGTAGGCAATGGGAAATATAGGAGTAAGAATTATGTTAACAAATATTGCTAAGATATCATGGTTAACCTCCCTTTACATTGTTTACTATAGTTACCTCATTGTAGTAGTTGTTTTGTTTATGATTTTAAAAAATGTGATAATCTTCTAAAAAAAAACTAACAGAAGCTAGATATTTTACACTTAATTAACTTTTTTTATTGATATTTAATAGTTTTATTGATCATTTAATTACGAAAATAAATGTAATTATTTTATCACCAGGGTAATCACAAGTTGGTGTTCATTTTCTCAAGACTAAGTTGAAATGTATATTTTTAATTTAGCTCTCTTGTGCTAGCTGCAAAACAGTTTAATCCATCCCACTATTTGCCAACAAGACATGTATGCTAGCTGTTTAGATATGAAATGATTTAATTTGTTTTATTGTATCTCATTTTTTATTCAAGGTCAGGACATTTTTTTATCACCTTTTTGGTTCAAGGTTTGAAAAAAAGAATTTTATGTTAACTTATGATTGTGATTGGTTTCTTTTATAAAAATGCAGGTTTAATATATATTTTATATACATAAAGTGGGGAAAAAAAATCTGTTAATTCCTGTAATTCTTAGAAATGTCCCAGTTGCACAATGGTTCATGTGGAAGATTATTCTTTGGTCTATATAAAAATGGCTGGTAGAAATTGTTTTTAGAATATACAAATAGAATAGGAGAATATGAAGATGAATGGCAAGAATGACATTCGAGATAAAATTACTTACTTTTAAAGCTTTATTTTTATATAAAGGTTTTTATATCAAAGAAGTATTAAAATTGAAATCAAATAATTGCTTTATTTTGAATGGTATTTGAAAAAAGACTAGTAATATGCCAGTTTATATGGATAATAAGTTAAGAATGAAAACATAATTATCTATTGAATGGTAAGAAATCAAAATATATACATGTAAGTATGAAGAAAAATATAAGTAATGCTAAAATGCAAGTAGTTCTTCACCAAACCATATTTTTCTTCATCTAGAAACATTTACTGGTGACTGGACAAGAAATTGTTAAGAATTCTTACAATAACAGTGTATTTTGCATTTCAATTGTAATAGAAGATAGTTTTAGAAAGCCTTAGAATAAATGATTGAAATTATCATTGTATTGAATTATAGCATGATCGAAATTATTGATATAAATGAAATAGGGTACAATTAAAATAGAAACAGGTAATTATTTAATAATTTGTGTAAAAATATACATGTATTTATTAGTCAGTTAAATTTATATTGAACAAATTTACATTCACCATTATTATCTTATAGTTGATTATATCTTCCATTATTTGATGGCTTGTTAATGGTATAAATACGGTATATATTATTACATATAGATGTATTATATATATTGTAGTCCATGTGTACTTTGAAGCATTGTGATAAATAAAAAAGATAATTTCTGTAACTTGTCTTAAGTTCTTTTTCAAAATTTTCTTCTCCTTTTTAGCTCACCTGTCAAAAAGTGACAGCGTGTGCTTTTGTGATCGCTTTTCGTCCGGCGTCCGGCCGTCCGTAAACTTTTACTTTAAATGACATCTCCTCATAAACCACTAAGCCAATTTCATTCAAACTTCACAGGAAGGTTCCTTTGGTGGTCCCCTTTAAAAATTGTTCAAAGAATTTAATTCCATACAGAACTCTGGTTGCCATGGCATTCGAAAGAAAAAACTTTAATTATCTTCTTTGAAAGAACCCAAAGAGCTAGAGCTTAGATATTTGGCATGAAACATTTTCTAGTGAGTGTCTACCAAGTTTGTTCAAATAAAAGCCCTGGGGTCAAAATTGGCCCCGCCCAAGGGGGTCATTGATTTTCCCTATATGTATATAGTAAAAACTTAAAAAAATTTCTTTTTAAGAACTCAAAGAGCTAGAGCTAAGATATTTAGCATGAAACATCTTCTAATGAGTGTCTACCAAGTTTGTTCAAATAAAAGCCCTGGGGTCAAATTTGGCCCCACCCCAGGGGGTCATTGATTTTCCCTATGTGTATATAGTAAAAACTTAAAAAATCTTCTTTTAAAGAACTCAAAGAGCTAGAGCTAAGATATTTAGCATGAAACATGTTCTAATGGGTGTCTACCAAGTTTGTTCAAATTAAAGCCCTGGGGTCAAAATTGGCCCCGCCCCAGGGGGTCATTGATTTTCCCTATATGTATATAGTAAAAACTTAAAAAATCTTCTTTTAAAGAACTCAAAGAGCTAGAGTTTAGATATTAAGCATGAATCATCTTCTAGTGAGTGTCTACAAAGTTTGTTCAAATAAAAGCCCTGGGGTCAAAATTGGCCCTGCCCCGGGGGTCATTGATTTTCCTTATTTGTGTATAGGAAAAACTTAAAAATCTTCTTTGAAAAAACCCAAATAGCTAGAGTTTAGATATTAAGCATGAAACATGTTCTAGTAAGTTTCTACAAAGTTTGTTCAAATAAAAGCCCTGGGGTCAAAACTGGCCCCGCCCCAGGGGTGTCATTGTTTTTAACTATATGTGTATAGTAAAAACTTAAAAAATCTTCTTTTAAAAAACCCAATGAGCTAGAGCTTAGATGTTTAGCATGAAACATCTTCTTATGGGTGTCTACCAAGTTTGTTCAAATAAAAGCCCTTGGATAAAATTGGCCCTGCCGGGGGTGGGGGAGGGCAGATCATTGTTTTTCATTATAAGTGTGTACATCATGAAACATCTTCTTATGGGTGTCTTCCAAGTTTGTTCAAATAAAAGCCCTGGGGTTTAAACTGGACCCGCTCCAGGGGCCTACATACAGGTGAGCGACCTCAGGGCCATCATGGCCCTCTTGTTTTGTTATTGATTGCCATGTAAACAACTCTTCTGCTGACTAAATGCATCCTAATGGACCTTTCCAGTTTTTCGTAGCGGAACATTAAGCCACACCTTTTCCATTCATTGCTAGGTCAACTGCTCACAAACAGTATCACAAACAAAACCATGTGTTCTTTTGTGCAAACCAGGTCAACCAGTGACTATGTATTATCTCAGTGTAGCAATTGGATAACAAGTTAGCCAATTTACATGAATCTGTAAACACTGGAAAGGTCCATATTGTTTTATACTTGTAATATAGGACATTTAGAAATATATATGTATAGGTTAGAGTGCATATTGGGTGTTCTTCGTAAATAAGAAAGCTAAAAAGGAGCGGAGCTTGCGAAGCGACTGTAGCTTTCTTATTTACGAAGAACATCCAATATGCACTTTTACCGGCTTAGTGCTCCGCCCAATTTTTTTCCGCCCAACACACTGTGTGACCTCACACGATAGCCTAGATGTGTATAACCATATTTGGAACACAGTAGCGGTATATATATACATTTTCGGGTTACATGTATGGCGATATGGAGTTTATCGGGAAGAAATATTTTGATTAAACAATTTAAACAGTTTATTTCGACCACTTCATGTTTATAGCCTGTTTGTTTATCCACACATAGTGCATTTCTTTGAGATAAGAAATAGTTAACAAGTTTTCAAATACCCATACAATTATGATTTAAATAGGTTGTCTACCTTTACTCTTTAGCAAATATTTTAAATATTTAAAATAATATACATGTTGCCCATCATCTGTAGATGCCAGGTCAGGGCAACATTATACTTGTTTACTTTTTCTATTACCATTCATTACAACAAGTTCAATTTACAAACTGTGCATATGGTCTAAATTACATAACTGTACATCAAAGGGCAAGACAAAGGCGATCAGTGATGACTTGACTGTGTCTCCTCATGATAGCAAATTGCATGTTTCAGCCACTGTGTTATAGGAGACCCAAAAATCATTAACAGGGCAAAACACTTTATAATTCAAGGGTTATAACTCAGCTGAAAATCATTTAAGCGTAAAACTTGTGTACATGTATTATATATAACAAGAGGGCCATGATGGCCCTGGATCGCTCACCTGACACAACCGTATCCAAGCAATGTCTTAAACAAGCATCATGGCCAAGTTTGATGACAACTGAGTCAAACATGTGACCTCTAGTGTGTTATGAAGATTTTTCCATATTTGGGCTATGTGACCTAATTTTTGACCAGACCCGACCCATATTCAAACTTGACCTAGAAATCATCAAAACAACCTTCCTGACCAATTTCCAGGAAATTTGGATCAAAACTGCAGCCACTAGAGTGTTAACAAGCTTTTTCTATTTTTAGCTCCTGTGACCTAGTTTTTGACCGGACATGACCAATCTAAACACTTGACCCAGAAATCATCAAAACAACCTTCCTGACAAATTTCCAGAATATTTGAATCAAAACTACAGCCACTAGAGTGTAAACAAGCCTTTTCTATTTTTTAGCTCCTGTGACCTAGTTTTTGACCGGAGATGACCCGTCTTCGAACTTAATTTAGATATCATCTAAACAACCTTCCTGACAAATTTCGAGAATATTTGGATGAAAACTGCAGCCCCTAGAGTGTTAACAAGCTTTTTCTATTTTTAGCTCCTGTGACCTAGTTTTTGACCGGAGATGACCCATCTTCGAACTTGACCTAGACATCATCAAAACAACCTTTCTGACAAATTTCCAGAATATTTGGATGAAAACTGCAGCCTCTAGAGTGTTAACAAGCTTTTTCTATTTTTAGGTCCTGTGACCAAGTTTTTGACCGGACATGACCCATCTTAAAACTTGACCTAGATATCATCGAAACAACCTTCCTGACAAATTTCCAGATTATTTGGATGAAAACTGCAGCCACTAGAGTGTTAACAAGCTTTTTCTATTTTTAGCTCCTGTGACCTAGTTTTTGACCGGAGATGACCCATCTTCGAACTTGACCTAGATATCATTAAAACAACCTTCCTGACAAATTTCCAAAATATTTGGATGAAAACTGCAGCCTCTAGAGTGTTAACAAGTTTTTTCTATTTTTAGCTCTTGTGACCTAGTTTTTGACCTGAGATAACCCATCTTCGAACTCGATCTGTATTTCATTGAGACAAACATTCTGACAAAGTTTGATGATGTTCCAATCAAAAATGTGACTGCCAGACTGTTAACAACCCAATTGTTGACGACGCACGATGACGGACGCCGGACATAGCCCCATCACTATACCTCGCCTTGACCACTTTGTGGTCAGGTGAGCTAAAAAGGTGACAATATGCACAACTAGACTTGGTGTAAAGTTTGGATGAAATTGCACCAGTAGTTTTTGAGAAGTAATCCGGACAAGCTTTTGTGTATCTGGCAACACACAAGAAAAAGTTGAAAAACCACCTTTTTCATTAATGGGCCATAACTCGGCCAAAAATCATTCAACTTGAAAAACTGTGCAATATGCGCTAGAACTTGAACTAAAGATCAAGCCTGTAAAGTTTCATTGAAATTGTGTTAGTGGTAAACAGGAATAGTTCGGACAAACTTAAACAAGAGCCCGGTTTGGACCGGGTGATGCTTTTGACACAGGAAAGTACACCTCTTGTAGTTTTGTGAAAGTTCAAAGTGCATTAATTCCAGAATAAGGCAAGGCAGAGTAACTGTTCTTTACACTGGACTTCTAATAAATGAGATCAACATCTACCTACAAAGTTTCTTGATGATACCTGTTATGGTTTCTGAGTTATGTCCCTGACAAAGTTCGAAGTGTAAAAATAATAAAAGGGCAATAACTCCAAAATTTGGCAAAGCAGAATTACTGTTCTTGTGCACTGCACATCTACTCATTGAGATCTATCTACCTAAAAAGTTTCATGTTGACATCTCTTATAATTATCGAGTTATGTCTCGGAAAGATTTTTCTAAAAGGGGAGATAATTCGAAAACGGGGCTGAGCAGAGTAATAGTTCTTTTGAAATGCACTTCTACCTAATTAGATCTGTCTACCTACAAGCTTCATGTTGATATCTCATAGTTTTAGAGTTATGTCCCGGACAAGATTTTTCTAAAAGGGGAGATAATTCAAAAACGGGGCAAAATAAGAGTTATGGTTCTTTGACACTGCACTCCACCTCGATGTCCTCTACCACTGTGTGATGTTTAAACAAATTAAGGTCAAGGTGGCGACTATATGCTCTCCCTTCGGATAAATAAAATTTATTAAAGGGCCATAACTCTGACAAAAATCATTGAACTGGAAAATGCTGACAATATGCATACTACACTTGGTTCTAACCATTCCTGTAAAGTTTAAATCAAATAGCACCAGTAATTTATGAGGAGTAGTCCGGACAGACGACGGAGAAGTGACCATTACTCCGTAGAGGCGACACAAAAATAGGTCATTTTATCAAATTATCTAGGTTAGCCTATATCAAAATTCAATTTCAAATCTAAAACTGTGCACATGGTCCATATTTCATAGCTGTAAATCAAAGGACAAGAAAGTATGTATCTCGGCCAGCTGATATCAAAGTTCAATTTTTTCATCTAAAACTGTGAATATTGTCGACATTACACAGCTGTACATCAAAGCACAAGAAAGTGGGTAACTTCATCAAATTGTCTAGGTCAGGGATAACTATCTTAAGCCTGAAGTAAAGCGTTTTACAAATTAAGAGAAGTAAAGAATATTTTACTGAGCAAACATCTGGTCTCAGATGCCGGCACTAGTGTGACAGCTCTCCATAAACTTAGTGCAGTCAAGCTAATTCACTTCTTTTTGGACAATAATTTCAATGACACAAAATCTATATCATATATTTCCACTATAATTGGTCTATTCCTACAGAATTGAACCATAGCAATTAAATAACTATATATCTACATTGGATAATTCTATATTTAATCTTGAAATATTGATTACTTCAGTTGTCTGGAAATTTTGCTGATACAGCATGACTCAGCAAATTTAATGATTGGTAATGTAATATATGAACATTTAGCTTTGTCGATGCCATATATCAAATTTGTGGTATCAAATTTTCTCACAGAAATAACAAACACAAGATTTAATAAAAATCTTTACTGAGGCTTCAAATTTACCAAGTTTTTTTTTCTTCCTGTCCATTGATTTAATATACACAAATATTTACAGTACATTTACTTAACAGTAGAGATTACTTTGATCACTTTTATTCTTTCAATCAATGTCCTTGATAATACAGATGGTCCACATGTTTCATGACAGTCATAACTATATTTATGATGATGGGGGTGGTGGAGGGGGAGGAGCCATTCCTGGTATTCCTGGAGGCCCACCTCCTGGTATTCCTGGAGGCCCGCCTCCAGACATTGGCGGAGGCGGAGGAACTGGTGGTGGAGGAGGAGCTCCCATTCCAGGGGGTCCTGGAGGACCACCTCCAGCCATAGGCGGCATAGGGGGTGGAGCCATAGGGGGCGGACCAGGAGGAACTGGAGGTCTTTGCATTGGTGCCATTCCTGGTGGCCCACCTGCCATTGGAGGCGGTGGCATTCTTGGAGGAGGGGGAGGCATTCTTGGAGGAGGAGGCATCTGCATGGGGGGTGGACCACCTCCAGATGGGCCTTCTCTTTCCTCCTCGGAAATTGGAGGCTGAGATGGTGGTTCCCTCTTTGGTGGTGCTGGAGGAGGCTGTGGTAACTTTGCCTCTACTTTGAATGCAAACTGCAGGAAAAACTGAAAAATAAACCAAATAAATTTCAATAAACAAAATATCCAAGCAATTTATACATAAATCATTCTGTTAGTTTAATATTAAATCATGTATCCAGAGAATGTATTCTTTAAGTGCTTTTAGTTAAATATCAGAAATTGCTTATCTTATTTTCACTTAATGATAAAAAAACTCACATGTTGTTTAGATTAACAATATGTGTGTTTAAAGGAGTATAACAATACCTGTTTTGTTTCTCTGTTCCAATGACTCCACAATTTTTTAGGATCTTTGTCAACTTCTCTGCTGGGAACCTGTCAATACATCAAATATCATAAAATATCATACTCTAACATTACATAAAATATAATACTCTAACATTACATAAAATACCATACTCTAACATTACATAAAATATCATACTCTAACATTACATAAAACATCATACTCTAACATTACATAAAATATCATACTCTAACATTACTTTAATCTTCTCAAAAAGGCACACTCTATTCAAACAGGAATTCATTAATCAAAGAAGAAATAATATGATATAAAAACAAAACATTCTAGATTTCAATTTAAGGTGGTAACCGTAATCATTAACAACTTCTTTGGTCTATTGTATGGAAAGCTGAAAGCATTTACTTTCTGGATTCTGGGTTACATACACAAACATGGTATTCCTTTTGAGGGTAAAAACACCGGTTAATAAGGCACAGCAACACCACCTAATGTTACCTTCATTACAGACATAATTATAGTCTGATTTTTTTGTGTTTTCAAGTTAAGCTAATACTGTATAATAATATCATAATCTTAGGAGTCAGAGACCCAAACAACTCGATCAAATGTCTCACGGCATCCACATCAAAGTGACTCCACTGAAGTTTTCAGACATGAAGGGACTGGCAGTATTTTTCTAAAATTGTATACCATTTGATAAAGGACTGTACTAATAACTTGTGTGCAAATTATCAGACCAAACGCTCAATCAGTTTTCTCAAAATACTCGATCTTTATTGTGCAAAATGACCAAAACATAATAAACATTGCAATGCTTTTTGCTCTGCAAGGCTTGGGTCTAAAACCAAGCTAAATATCATACAAAATGATGATTTTCAATTGAGTATATTTCATTGCACATTTTTCCCTTTTAAGTGTATCATTTTATCTATATAAAAATTTCACATTTTATGTCTTTAGACTTTTTGACCTGAGTGGAGTTCCTTTAACCACAAACACTACCATAGTCCTCATTTATTGATATACACATTAAGTAAAATAGGTTATACATTATATAGTTTACCTTGAAAGCAATGGTTTCATAAGGTTCTGCTGCAAACAAGAGATATTGCCATCGCCTGTCTGGAGGCTCAACTTTTTGTTCGTAAGCTGCCATAAATCTATGTCTAGGTATGATCCCCTCTACGATCTCAGGGTAGTCAATCTATTATAAAACAAATCCTACTGATATACATGTATTATCCATGTATTATGTATCATATTGAAACTGATAAAACATAATTTAAACTGTACTTCTTAAGTTTTGATATTTCTCAAAAATTGTATACCCAGTATGAATAAATAGGTATTATATATGATCAGATGTAACAATTGATATAAAACAAATACTTAACTAAATAAATATTTTCTTGAAAATACACCAAAACAATTGATCAAAATGTTAAAACCAATTAAAGCAGTGGTATCCTAATGAACATTGAGTTTAACAAACCCAATAACAGATAATATAAGCAACATTACCTGAAATAGTAAACTTTGTTGTTGTGACTCAGGATCTCTTTGTTTGGTTACTGTAAGTAAAATAAGCAAATAATTTTGCTGTATTACATGTATATAATGATAAAGAATATACATAGAATTAGTTACTATTATTCTCAGACTTCTGTTTTACCAGGTTTCTCTATGAGATAACGGAAGACTTTTGCCAATTTCAATTATACAGCTTAACAAATCTAAAGCAGTTGTCTCAAACCCACATGGGTGCAATGCATTTTCCAAATTCTTTATAATGAAGAATAAATCATCACTTGATTTCACTCTAATATCTTCAAGCTTCTTTATTTCTGCAATTCTAGTGTAATGGAACAGATAAATTAAAATTAACTCTTATAGAGCAGTGAGAGCTTTGTTTGAGAGATTCTTTTATAAATTCATAGATTTCTGCACCTACTTTTGGTGGTTTGGAGATTTAGATAATTTTTATTAAGGATGGCAATGAAAACAAAAATCAATACTTGAGTACTCGGTCATATTTCCGATCGAAATTTTCTTAAAAGGTTTTTTTGAAAGATTTTCCCAAAGATCTTAATTAAATTTTTTACACCCCTAATTTAACCCCTGTTTTTGCAAAGCTTTTCTTTTGGGTTTTCCCATTCGTAAATTAATAGGATGCAAGGGAAAGGGTTTTAAGGAATTAACCAATAAAAAAAAATTTTAAAAATTTATCAAACAGCAAATTTTACATGTTTTAATTTTCAAAACGTAAAAAATTATTTTCAATACATTGGGATCAAAATTTAAAAACCAAAGTAAAAACAGTTTTATAAAAATCTTTTTTTTTCTTCTTGAAAAATTTGAAAATGCCCCTGCCCTGGGGGTGAATACCCCCCGCATACCCTTTGTCAGAAAACAACCCGTGGCCCCTTAAGAAATTTAAAGGACAACCCTCCCCTACCAAATCTGAGGTTTTCTAAAGCAGTGCATTGCTAAGTTTGCTATGTATTCTACATGCTTCAAATGTGAAAATGTCAAAATCAATACATTGCTGACAGGACATTCTTTAGCAAATTGAGAAGAAAAGCTTTTTTTTTGTCAAGGTCCCTGTGACCTTGACCTTTAACCCAGTGACCTCAAAATCAATAGGGGTCTTCTTATAGTCATGATCAACATCCATGCCAAATATGAAGACTGTGGGTCAAAGGAATCTTAAGTTAATGGGTGGACAAACTTTTTTGAAGTCAAAGTCCCTTTGACCCTTGACCTTTGATCCAGTGACCTCAAAATCAAAAGGGGTCATCTACTAATCATGATCCAACATCCATGCCAAATATGACGACTGTAAGGTCAACAGGAATTCGTTATTGGGCGGACATGCTTTTTGGGGGAAGTCAAGGCCCCTGTGACCTTGACCTTTGACCTAGTGACCTCAAAATCAATAGGGGTCATCTACTTATATGACTAACCTTCATGCCAAATATGACGACTGTAGGTCAAAGGAATCTTAAGTTATTGGGCGGACAAGCTTTTTGTAGTCAAGGCCCCTGTGACCTTGACCTTTGACCTAGTGACCTCAAAATCAATAGGGGTCATCTACTAATCATGACTAACCTCCATGCCAAATATGAAGACTAAGGGTCAAAGGAATCTTTAAGTTATTGGGCGGGACAAGCTTTTTGAAGTCAAGGGCCCCTGTGACCTTGACCTTTGACCTAGTGACCTCAAAATCAAATAGGGGTCATCTACTAATCATGACTAACCTCCATGCCAAATATGAAGACTAAGGGTCAAAGGAATCTTAAGTTAGTTTGGCGGACAAGAAAAAAACCGGCGGAGCGCCGGACGGACGGACGGCCGGACGTATGGACGGACAGACCGGACGGACGGACAAGCTGATTCCAGTATACCCCCCTTACAACTTTGTTGTGCGGGGGTATAATAATAGAGACTGATGAGTGGCAATGGATATAGCTAGCAAATACACAATAAATATAAGAGAATGTCAATGACAGCATATATTTATGTTATTATAATTAACAAGTTTCGGCTAAAAACTGTTACACAATTAAAGGTGATAAAATATCATAAGAGACCGAATGATGTAAGCAACACAGGACTGTGTTCAATTCCATGCCAAACTGCTGATCGCCTAGTCAAATTTACGATCTCATTTTCACACCTCTGCAAGGATGTTTAAATTGCATTTAAAAGGTGTTTATGAAGATATGCGTACATCTCCTAATTTCTGAACTATATTTGTAATTGGATACACCGCAAGAAAAGGAATTATATACTTTTTTTGAGTTATCGAATATCAATTTTGTTAACCGATATTCGGACGTTCAATCGAGTACTCGATTAACCAGTTACTCGTTGCCATCCCTTATAAATATGAAGGCAAATGCAAAATGTGAATGTATCTACATCAAAATATATGCATAGTCATCCAATACCAACTATGCACAGTTGTAAAATCAGCAAGGCTATGTGATAAAAACTAAATACTCAAATTCTTCTTAAATTGTTTTCAAATAATAAATCTTGTACTGATTTAAAATATACCTTTATAACCAGGTCTACCAATTTTAACAAACTTTTTGATATCAACTCGAGGTTTTTCTGGAGCAGGCTGGGCAGGTGCTTCCTTTGCTTCTTTGGCCGCCCTTCGAGCCCTGCAGAAAAAAAAACACTCACAAGAATACAGTTTTTGTAAATCATAAATATTGAAATAACTCCTATTTTGTAACACCTTGATAAAATAATATAATATACATACTACACATTTTAAATTATTAACTTAACATACATTATTAACTATCTTTTCATTTTACACTTTTCATCAAATTTTAACAATACAAACTAAAAATTTTAAAAAACATTTAAGAGGTTATAACAGTATATTTCAATAGAAACAATGAACTTTTGAATGTTTATAATAAACTAATCTAAGCAGGTTTTCAGTATTTAAGTTTACACAGTTGTAAAAATAAGGACATATATTTTTCTAAAAAAAAAAATCAGTATAAGAAACTAAAAATCTTACAGATTGGCCTGATGTTTTTTGCCCTGTGTATGTGCTAGGTAACTGCCTTCATTGTTGTGTAGTGTCAGACATAGTTTACATTCATATGATCCCAAATGATTCTTCATAAAATATGGGTCCTGAAAATATCAACTAGACAATGACAATACCTTATCCTAAACAATCAAACACAGAAAAATATATGAATACTAGTCTACAAAATTAATGTTAATGCAATATTGAATATTAACAAGTCAGACCACTCTTTTTCCATGCTAAATACCTCTGAAAACAAAGGTACACCCAAAGTCCAAAAGTATAGTTTTTATCTTAATTGGAAAAAAAAATCTACCCTTTTCATTACCTACTGGAGCTTTTTTAAAAGACAAGAACATTCTCCTTTAATGCCCTTTTTGAATATTTTGGGGTTTTGTTTTTTGTTGTTGTTTTTTTCATTATTGGATCTGGAAGTCCTATCAACACTTTAAAGATCACATGAAGACTTTCCAGCTTTACTGGTGGAGGAAGATCTCTGTGCATTATTTAAGGCACAAACAGGCACCTGAATAGAACCACCAACATTTCGTATTAAGCTAGCTGGATAACTTTCTCACAGGAATAAATCCAAAGACGCTTGCACAGTTCAAAGCTTCAGCAGTGAGAGGCAAGTGGTTTGAAGTCAACAACCTTAACCACTCAGCCATGGATGCCCCTGCCCTTTTAATGTAAAGAAGTTAGAACCCCATTACTATCCTATAAAAACAATTCTACTATATTATAGAATTATTTAATCTTACCACTTAAAGTGAAAAGCTGTATTTAATCTTATATCTGTTTTTGTTTCAATACACAATAGTGTACAAAAACTAACTATCAAAAGGCTACATGTACATAAACTCTGGTAAAACTATTATAAAATGATTACCTTATTTAGGTCTATAGTTTCCAGCGCAAGCTGTCTCAGTCTTTCCCTGCGGTCCCTATTGGTCTCAGAAGAGGAGGCCACTCCTCCTGACCCAGTTTTCCCTCCAACACGGTTCTGGAAATCCATGACACCTTATTATCTACCTGCAAAATACAAAATGTTTCAATAAATTTAAAAATACTACCTGCATCTAAAAGAAGATTTATTTAATGAAGGAAATTATTTTATGTGGGATGAATTGAATAGGCTGAAGTTACATTGATGAAAGCACAGCAAACTTGGCAAACTTCTAAATAATTTGAAAAAGCCTTTCAACATCAAAGCAAACTTTTACTCTTGATTCTACTTACTATATTTTTTATATTTATTTTTCTATACATTTAAGCACTAATGAATTTGTTTAAAAATCATGACAGTTATGCAGTCAACAAAATTTCCATCTGGTGGTAGATCTTTGACCATGTTTACAACACTGTTTTGTTTATTCTCTAAACGGTATTGCTAGTCATTTTTAAAGCAGCATGCCTCCAGATTCATGCTAATTTTCATGAAAATTTTGAAAATGTATTTAGAAGTAAAATATTGTGAAGTAAACATAGAAAGTAATTTACACATTGCAAATGGCACTTACAACCCATGTTAATAAGCAAAAAGAGGTCAAAATATACATAAATACCTCTTACTGCGTTAGTAACGCAGTAGAATTATAGTGATTGATACTGCAAAAATAGTAATTAATCGCACATATCATGTAAATAATTAATAAGATTGAATCTTTTTACTTTCATTAAAATCTTAATACATTTTTCATAAGACTGAATTTCTTGAAAAATTTTCGCTCTTCTGGACAATAAATTTGCAAGTTACAAGCTTCACACTATTCCCCTTAGTATCAAAAAGATATCATCATACCAAAAAATAAGGGTAAAAAAAGATAATTTCAGGATTAATTGGTTAGGGATGGAATTTTTGCAACAAAAAAAAAATGTGAAACTATAAAGGACCATTTGTAATCATAAAGTAGTGTTTACCTTTAACAGGTATATAATGAAAACACTGCTGCTTGCAATGTAAATATCTATCTTTGAATACAACCAACCCCTCTCACTGGTGTTATAGACAAGAAATAATAAATATTTCATATTTTAAGTAACCTAGATAACACCTAATTTCATATTTAACAGATATTTAAACAGATCTATTTAGAGTGCATTGTTTTATACACAGTAAGTCCGAGCGGGGCAACGTCTATAATAATTATTATAGACGTTGAAATATGAATTTTTTCAAAACGGCTTATATTAAGTTATATAGATACATATGATCAGTACATGTGTTGGGATTGACAAATATGCATTTTATTTGGATTTTAAAGGCGTTTTGAGCTCCACACCCAAAGTGTCTGTGGTTGCACCTAATCAGGCTGGTGAAATTGCCAGATCGGGCTTAAAATGAAAAAATGTAATTTCTCAAAAACAGTCAAAGATATTGCTTTTAAACTTGTGATATATCTTAGGCATTATAATTAGATAGACTTTAACAAATGTTTTATTTTTTATTATGAGTAATACGGATTTCACATCACTTTTTTTCATTTTATATGGTCCAATTTTTTTAAGTCCATAAACACATCTTTTGCATTTGCCTTTTTCCTCAAATCTGGATTATTTTGCATCCTGGGTATCTCTTCTAATGCGCCAGCACCTTAAATTTCTGTATTGTATGCTGTATTTTTAATTGCATAACAATTGTTGACCACACTCACCCACAGGGGTTACATGTTTTTGCTAAAAAAAATTTACACAGATTAGAACTGCCATATTTTACATGATGGCGCATTAAAATGAATATATCTGATCATATAAAACTCAAAATTCAATTGGAATTCATTTTAAAAAGTCATGTTCTTGGACTTGAAAATTTTAGCTGCTTAAAATCGAACAAAGGCAAAATATTCTTGTGTAATAACTAAAATTCATTTAATTTTAGTTCTTATACATCACAAATTAGGTAGGAAATAATATGCTTTAAAAAGGTAAAAATAACTTTGATACTTTCCAAGAAATGTGCAATTTTCATTTTAAGCCCGATCCGGCAATTTCACCAGCCTGCTAATTTCATATCATGCACTTTTTATCACATGTCAATGTTCTGGGTGAATTTTCATTGCAATTTTCCTTTTCGAAACATTATAAGCATGGCCAGTGACTGTGTAGTTCGCAAAATGACCTTTTGCCAGAGAAGGGAAAATCCACTATGACGAGTCGCGAAATAACATGACAAATTGCAATTATGTTCCTTAATGTACGCTTTAGTCTAACATCTTCAGTTACAAAGAAAATGAATTGCATTTTAATCAAATCTATAAATATACCTGTTAGAAAATTGTTTCAACTAAATGATCGCAGATTATTTCATTCTAATGACCAAAAAAAAACAACGTACGCTATCGTTTGGTTTGTTTGATTGAAAAAAAAGAAGAATTAGTTCACACAGATAGACAAAAAAAACACACAGAACTTCAGAACCTTCGTAAAATAAACGAACCAATGAAATTTCATACTTCCAAATGTTATAAATTAAGTTTTGAATATCAAGTCCATTGGGAAAAAAACAACAGAAAATTGATTTTGGGATCTCATATGTAATTTATTTGAAAAAAAAATCAAGTTTCGAGTACCTGCAAAGATGGACTGCTTCTAAATTTTTGCGATAATCATTCAGATTATAACAGAAATATGGAGAACCAAACAAAAGATTGTTTACTGGAAACAAAATGGATGCCAGACATTCTCTGAGATGCAAGTTGTCGGAAATTTTAAAAACAGTTAAGCTTTCATTGTAAAGCTTTATCATCCATATAACAGTTGGTCAGATTTGTTGTACAAGTATGCATTATTTTAATCGTAAGATTTTTATGTAGAAAAATAAAAAGAAGAATTTATTTTATTCTGTAGAATTCACTGAACTGCTGATTGAATTCATAGATGATCGACTTCATGATTTTTAATTTAATCTCTTGCAATGTTACTCTCCTGTAAAAATTAAAATATATTCTTTTGGTCTTAAATGATAACAGGGATCGAAATATCGTTAAGATTCACTCTTCCAACATGTCCAAGACGACTGACAGTGACTACGACTGACAAATTATAACAGTAACAGACCCTTGACATGTCATCATAGTTCATTGCCTTTATATGAAATTAGGCAAAGCCAATGAACGGGGAAGTCGGATAAAAAAATTGTTCATTTTTCCATTTTAAAGGTGTCTTTCGGTATTTCATGCACTGTTTCTGTTTTACTGTAAAAGACCCTTCCAGATTATTAGAGAGCTCGAAGAGCTGGCCCTAAATGCCTGCATGCAAAGCGAGCTTTATGGTAACGCGGAACTCCCTAGACAGTGATGGTTTTGAAAATTTTCATCCGAAGTACGAAATTGACACATCACAACTTTTGGAATTACAAGATAACGATAAAAGACTAGGTATTCTGATTGAAAACGGAAGCGTAAACTGGTGTCCTGCGTACTTATATGACAACCATAATAGGACAGAGAACCAGAAAAAAGGAAGCAGTGTATAAAATACCGAATGACAATTTTAAAACGAAAATATAAAATAAAAATGAACAATTATTTTATACTATTTCACAGTAAAAGTAAATCGAGCTCGCTTTGAGGCTTTGCCTTTTTCATATTATTAATCTGAAAAGTTGCGATTGTTGGTTATCGGAATACCCCTCATATTTAAATGATATTATCATTGATTTACATTGAAAATGGCGGAGCCCGACTAGAACTGATACAAAAAATTTCATTGAAAGGTATCTAATTTTATATATTCTTTAATTGTTTTTTATTTGATTATTTTCTTGTATACATATGAAGTGTATAGCCAAGCAAGCCAAAGCCGGGGCCTTTGGCTTGCCCAGCTATAGACTAAATGTATATATTTAAAAAAAGATCAAATAAAAACAATTAAAAAATATATAGATTTCTTTACCTTATATCAGTGAAATTTTCAGTGTCACATTTAGATGGGTGCTGCCATTTTCAATGTAACTTTGTGATAATTTGAGCGAGGTATTCCGAGAATGGAAACAATCGCAACATTTTGGGATCTCAACTGAAGACAAAGGTGTCAACTCAGTGTGCACTCAAGCTTTTACATCATGTGTCAAGTCATGTATACTTGATCCCATTATAGTAATTAGTTGTCTAGAGTTATTCAGGGCTCGAATTTAACACTCGCAAAATGCTAGTTGAAAAATGATTTTGCGAGTTAGATTTATGACTACTCGCATTTTTTTACGGAATACGCTCGTCAGGAAAATCCGAAATATAAATGGGACATAATATTCGCAGGTAGCCGAGTTATAAACTATGCGCGCACTTGCTGTCTGATTTACATTTTCTATACCTTAACCTCGCTTAAAAAAGTACACAAATTTAAACCAGTCCAAATGTCATTTTGTCCGTGTAAATCAAGCGTGATCGGAATAAAATGTCTAAATGAAAAATAACGAACTTCTTCCCACTTACTGAACTTCAGTGAAGCAAATGTGTCTTCCGATAACAATACTCTGAGTACAGAAGATGATTCACTGTCTATCAAAAGAAAGGCAATCAGACGTTCAGTTAAAACGGTTAAAAAATGGGAGAAAGAACTGCACGTCAGTCTTTCGTACGAACTTGATGACGATGAAAATGCTAAAATGTTGCCAAAATATTTTGCGCCGAATGTTGTGCGCATAATCAAGACCAGACATCGTCGGTATGGCGACAATATTGCATTATTATTTTTTTTACATGTAGATTGACATTTGATAAGAATCCCTGTCCCCTAAATCAAGTTTTTGAGTAGAAAGTTACGTTGCTGATTCGTACCCAGGGCAGTTCGAACTCGTCCAAATAAATTACAATTTTAATTTTGTTAATGTAGTTTAAAAAATAAAATTTATTATTATGATACATAATTATAACAACAATGAATTAATTATTATGGTACATGATGATTTAAACAATTAATGAATGTACACAAAAGTTTAAACAATTTTGGAATTAAAAAATCATTGTTGTAAAAAGTGCTAGTTGAATTCAGTTTTTGCTAGTTAAAAATTTGTCCACTAGCAAATAATTGCTACTGGCCAAAAAAGTTAAATTCGAGCCCTGGTTATTGGATTTTTTTTTCTTCAAACATATCATTTTTTATTTAAAGTTTTATTTTGATAAAGTTATCAATGTAAAAATAATTTAGAAAATTTACACATGTAGAAAGTTGCTGATTTACAAAGAAGCAAACTTATCTTGGGATAAAATTTAAGCATATTATATTGTATTTCAGTAAATTACTTGATGAAAATATGGATCAAATTTAGGATCAATTTCAATCATTATAATATTAAATAGCAACAATTTTTACATTTACAGAGAGATGTGTGATAAAAGCAAGTTGAAAATTTTTTAATATTAATGATAAATGTCTACATTGTGGATGACTTGTTGAGATATAATAGCTCTAAAAATGTTTTTAAACTTTATAGTTTGATAATTAAAAATAAAATCATTAGAATATATAGAGAATTTCTGCTTCTATTGTTTTCAGCACAGCACTAATTAGAAGTGTAAAATGGATGAGGATGAACCAGGTGAGGGTCTTGATGACTTGAGGAAGAAAAGACTAGCATACTTCCAGACACTGAACAACTATGGTGCTGAAAATGTTAAACATGTGGATGCTCATGAAAGAGAAATCTTGCTTGGAAATGTTTCATCTTACAAGGAACATAAAGAGGATAATTCAATAAGCAATGGAAACTGTACTCATGAAATTGAACATAAAAGACCACATTTCAGTGAAAATGTGGGCAATAATATCTCCAGCATAAATAATGTTAAATCTGATATGCAAACAAAATCTTCTTTAGATATTCATAATGTTACAGGCAAACAGAATCATTTGACAAGTGATGTAAGGGCAAAACCAAGACATGAGACTGTTTTAGAATCAAAGACAAATGTAAGGGAAACAAAATGGCAAGACTATAATAGACAGTCTGAACAAGTTCATCATAATCAAGAGCATCAGCTCAAAACATCCTCATTCTTTTTCTCTAATCCTGAACATCAGCAAACTACAGTTACTGAGAAATCAGAAAATAAATCAGACAATCTTGATGCTTACAATGAAACTGTTGAAAGGCTTATTAAAGCTACAAAGGAAGAATTGTTGGGAATCAAAGTAAGTGATGATATCTGGACAAATTTTAGAAAGGATCAGATTGAGTTAACTGATGATGAAGAGCAAGATAAAAAAGATAAAAGGTTAGAAAAAAGTAAAATGCAATCAGACTTAAATGCTCAAAGTAACTGGACTAATGTGCCAGCTGCAAAAAATCCAAGAGATTTCAAAAGGTCATTTTCTGAATCAGGTTATTCTACTCAGAAAGATATGAATGGTAATATAACTAAAGAACATGAACAAAAACAGGGCAAAGAGAGCAAAGATCTTTATTTTAAAACAAAAACTTCTGACACTAAAACCAAGATATGTTTAAGGTGAAAACCCACTCCAAAGTTTTACCCAAAGATACTGCTGAAAATTTGAAAAATTATAAAAAACTTCAAAAAATTAGGAAAATTTAGTTTCCAAAGGGAAGGATGCAAATTTTGAAAGCAAAGAGACAAAGCATTAATGCATGGTCTCGGAGTTTGAAAACCAGTGGGGTTAAAAACACCCGGGGATTTTAAAATTTAAACAAATGATTTTGGGGGGGACTTTTTTTTGGGCTACTCATAGACCAGGGGGCTGAGAAACAGATACGTAAAAGGGTTTAAACAGAGGGTATCAAACTTTGGGTACGTTTACAAAAGAACTGAGAACTTTTTTTTAAAGGGGAGGAAAAAATTTTTTTCAGTTTGTAATGAAAGCTTAAAAAGGATATAGATGATTTGCACCATGACCGGGTCAAAATGAAAAATTCTGCCTCGAAAAGATAAAACTCCAAACTGGTTTAAAGAATAAAACCGAACTAAACCATTAAACTTTCAGTCATACCTTTCCTAGTGAATTCTAAAGCAGAAATCCTCCAAAATCTTATCTTAAAAAAAATTTAAGAGAGTGTTCAGAAGATAGAAACAGGAACCAGAAATTCAGCAAGAAAACAAAGAAGCATGGGCTGAATCTAAGGACATGCATAAGTTAGTGTTCATGATTCCAATGACTTCACAAACCCCAAGACAGCCAGATGGGGAGGTAGTTGAAAATCTAATTGGAGAGTATTTTACTATCAAAGGAACAGTTTTTTAACCCAAAAAGTTCTTACTTCAAACCTGCTTATAAGAACAAAAAATGGTTGAGAAGCCCCAAGTGAAGCTGAAGATCATGTGAAAAATTTGCAATTCCCTGCATTGGATTCTCGAAGGTATAACAAAAGCAGAGTCTCCTAGACCAAAGCTAAACAGACCAAAGTATGAACCTCCAACAATTTATCAAGAAAGGTCTGATAGAGAGGAAAACCATCAGGAAAAGAAAAAGCCAAGGGATATGAATCTAACAAATAGTAAGAATTATGAACAGGTTACAGTTCCAAGGAATGTGGCATTTTCATCAAATGAAATATATAACCAAGCATATGGTTCATTTCACCCTGGCCAAGCTGCTCCAGTGACTCATCAGTTCCAGGGAGGGCCTGTTATATACTCACCTTACAGTTCCCCACCTGGCACAGCAACCAATGGTCCAGTAACCCCTAGCACACCAGTAGGACCTGCTGTTATTGCACAGAATTTTCATAACCCAGACCAACTTGCAAGTCAAGAGTTTAACAATTACAAGAGTTATTCAAGACAAGCTTCATTTAGTAGTGAAAGGGTCTCATATAACCCCCTCCACCTAAAACCAAAAACAGACACCTCATCCTTCCCAAAACAGCAACACATTTCTCCAAACCCCCCCGTAGCATCAACAATAGCTCACCCCGCCAGGTCTTTCAAGGAATTCCAAAAAGCATCCCTACAGTTCGTATTATGTTATTCTGCTGACTTAAACAACTTTTTCCCCCAACAATTTTTTGCAAAGGGTTTTCTACTCCAAAGACAACCCTATGATCAACCCTTTTTATGTTTCCCCACCCCCCCACAAAACCCCCGGTACTTCCCTAACCAGGGGGCTTTTGGGCCCAAATAAATTTTTTCCCCCACCTTATTTTCCCAACCCCACATGGAATTCCCTTCCCGGGTTTTCCAAAATCAATATCAAATTGGGTACGGGGCCAAATATGGTGGGACTAGGAGGAGCCCATGCTCCTTACATGCAGGTTAGTGGGAGTGGCCAGGTGTTCATACCACACCCACCTACGAGTCTTGGAGCACAGGTGTACCAGCCAGGTCATACAACATACAAAAAACATGAAGTAAAAACTGAGGAATCGCAACAGCCACCACCCACGCCATCTACATCAAACGCAGAAGTTCAAACTGACAGAGAAGATTTTATAGAAAATGAAAAAGGTAGTTTTATTAAGAAAAATAGCTACAAATTTCTCCTTATTGATATTTTTTTAATATTGTACATGTTATATCTTTCTAGTTTATTCTAACCAGAGTATGATCAGGGAAATAAAAATTTGAATTATCTTATCATAATGGTACTCCAAAGTTATATTTTATGTAAATTAAAGTACAAGAGACTTTGCTTTTGAGAATTGAATACTAAGACATTACAGTTACATTACATGTGTCTTTATTTAATTAGCAACTATGGTAGAAGAGTCAACATTTACATCAGTAAGTCAAATAGTGGATGAAGATAAGTTTATACCCCACCCACCTGCAAAAAAGAAGGAGGGAGGTCCGTCCCCAAGGCGTGCTCATCTCAGTAAAGATATAACACCTAGGAAAGCTCAGGATGCTAAACGCCATATAGATGGAATTAGACAACACCATGAACAAAGGTAGGCATATTTCTTGCTTATTCAAGGTATGACACAAATTTTCTTCTGAACAAAATACCTTTAAAACAAGCTTTCATGCTATGAAGTTACAGTTACTTTTTAAATTATCAAGGCTCTTATTTTACTATAAAGCACTGAGAATAGTTGAGCACACTGTCCTAGATAGCTCTTGATATATACCGTTTGAAAAACAGGTCATATTATTGGTCTGGGTTAACAAAGGTCAAGTAAAAATATGAATATGAAAAGATAAACCTATTTCACACCCCCTATATGAGACAAGTCATGTTCTTTGAATGATATCATTCTTGCAGGCCTTTAATAAATGAATGGTATTGTTAGGATGATGTCATTTTGCCGTAATGAATGAAGTTGTAAATTCATATTATATTCTTTTAGAAAAAGTGCTAAATGCAAAAATGTTTGCAAAATTTATTTATATGTTAAATATAAGAAAAAGAATCCAACACCAACTGCCAACACAGACAAGAATATCTTGCTTCTGTATAAGTTAAATTTGGGGGAAAAGGGGAAAATTAAGATGATATTTTTGCAAAGGGAAGAAAAACTTAGTGGGAAAACTGCATTATTTTAAAGATATTTTCTTAAACAGCCCTTGCTATAGAAGGACATAAGGTCTGCATTGTGAGGCAAATATTGGGTCCTAGTTGCCAATGTCAAGGTCACATATGCAAGTCAAATATCAGCTTAAAAAATAAAAGATGTCTGTATGGGCCATAATTGTAGTTGTCTTAAATTAAGGGATTATGTTATAAATGTTCACAATCATGAGAATAAATGTACCAGCATAATCCAGGTCAATATATGCAAGGTCAAGGACACTGCAAAATAGTAAATGTCCATATTTTGTAAGTAGTGTATCTTCTATGGGTTCGATCCCCAGGAGATGCTTTGGTAGTTTAGCGCGGAGGAAGGTAGTCTAGTACTGGTGTAACTCTCCAGGAACGATGGTTAGGTAACTACCCGCCTATATGACAAATACTGTTGAAAAAGGCGTAAAATGAAACAAACAAACAAACAAAATCTTCTATGGATTTAAACATCATCAAATCAGATTAGTATCACAATGAGATGTAGTATTCTGAACATTAACCAGGTCGCTAGGTCAAAAAGTCACCCTTATAGGCAAATGGAAAGTGCTTCTCTGGAGCAGAATATCTACATTCATTGCAAAGTTTATTATGACTTGGCACAAATGTTCATCATTGTGTAGCAGAGATGTGTGGTGTATTATCTGGTCCCTGTGGCCAAGTTCAAGTTCACACATAAAGGTCAATTGTCAGATAAAAATTATTAAAAATATGTGTATGGACTATTTAAATACAGTGTTATAGAGAGGAGTTTATATCACAAGTTTTGACAATTATGAGACAGAGTGTTACCCACATAATCCAGGTCAATATACTCAAGGTCACCAGAGATAATTAAATGTTAAGACTTTGTTTAGACATAATTTCTTCATGCATACATTGAGTTTTACTTGATGCAAATGTTCACCACCATGAGATGTGGTGTCTTTATGTGTAACAGGTCTCCAGGTCAAAGATCATGTTCACGCTTAGGTCAGGTGAAAACATTTAGCCATAGTTAAGTCTCTACATGCATTGATTTGATGTATTTGTAACTGAGATAATAATTTGACTTTACATAATGTTATCATTGTGAGAGACTGGTAGCTTTTGAAATCATTGTCATTGCAAGCAATTGAAACAAGAGGTTGATGATATTATCCTGGTACATTAACTTGATATAAAATATGAATTTCCTGTTTTAAGGAGGCAACAGTATGAGGGAGACAAACTTTCTGAAGAGCAGATTATTGAAAGACAGAAGAAGTTTGCAAAGGCTTCGCTTGATAGATACTTCTCTTCCCTGGAAAATATCTTCTCATCATCATCAAAGGTCTCTGGGATAAAATCTGAGGCGAATTTACCTACGGTTGAAGATGAAGATGATTTAAAAGCCTCAATAGAGACTGATAATGAAGCTGGACAAGTTGAAAATACTGTTATTGATGATGTGTTGAGCAATGTTCATGAAGAACGTGATCTGAAAGTGTTAAATTCTGGAAGTCAGGACAAAAATACTAAAACTAGTGGTGATTTTGTACCAGTTGTTCATGGGTTTGTTGACTTTTCTGAAAATGAAGAGAACAAAATGACAGTAAAAGCCCCAGTGATCAAAAGTTTTGTAGAAGAGATCAAAATGACAGTAAAAGCCCCAGTTATGAAAAGTTTTGAATTTGAAGACAACAGAAATGACTTTGAAAATGAAAGAAATGAATTTGACAATGAAACTTTAGTTAATAGCATGGCTAATACAGATGCTACACTGCATGCTGGTGGACTTACTGAACGTCTCAATGAACTTGGTATAGATGTTTCACATGTAAAATATTCAAACAAAGATAAAAAACAGATTGGTGAGGATAAAAAACACGGAGGAAAGAAAGGAAAAGTTCTGATTGTTTGTCCAGATTGTGGAGGTCTAAATAAAGAATATATGTCCTGGTGTACACAGTGTGGGGAAATGATAATTGGTGTTGAGCCCATGCTGGTAAGCAAAAATAGGGATGGCAAAATACGTATGAAACCTGTAGACAAAAATGAAATTGCTGAAACAGATGAAATAAGAATTAAAAATCCTGAAGTGAAAGAAATTAATATGTTGGCACCCAATACAAATGAAGTTGATTATGTACAGGAGGTAGATGAGAAGCCATTTTCTCTAGATCTTGATGGCATAAAATCAGAAAAAGAAGAAAACATAGAAGTGTATGAAAGTAAGAAAGTTTCTCCAATAAAATCAGAAGGCAGAGATAGCGGAAGGCCTTCAAGTGATGACCCTGATTTAGAATTACAGACTCAGAAAATTGAGGAAGAAGTTGTGAATGATATTTGTGCGTCAATTTCTGACCCAGTCTTAAAGGGTTATATGAAATCACATTTTAGTAAGTCCAAATCATGGCATGATAATGAGGGGAAATCTGAAGAGCCTGGATTCAATAATGATATTGATATGTTTCAAGGCACTGTTGAAAGCAAAAACAAAAAGAACTTTGAAAGTAGAACACATCACGATGTTGTTAATTTTGGTTTTAATAGTAAGGGTTTAACCAGTAATAATAAAGATATTGAAATAGATGTTAGATTTTCCAAGCAAGACATTAAAGACAGGCACAGAAGTGATGAAGATTATAACCCAAAAACATATGAAACACCGATGGAAGGTGAAGTTCAAGCTAAAATTGCAATGTTTAATCAAAAACAGTCTGAAATTGATACTGAAAATGACAAACACCTTTATAAACACAAGAGTAATGATAACTTTGAGGAGGATGTTTTATTTGAGCCTCCGCCTCTTCCTAACTTTAGCTCCGCCCTTCCAGTATCACATAATGAGCTAAAATTGAAGTTACCAGCAAATTCAATGGATTATTCTACAGATATGTCTCAGGTTGTGTCACAAAACTTTGACAATGCTCATAATGTAACTGAAAAAGGAGATAACATTGTTGAAGTTGATAAAGAAGCTGCTGAAGAAAGAGACCGTCAGAAAGCAGAGAGAAGAAAAGAAAGGAGGAGAAAGAGAGGGCATGGTGCTATTGATGTAGAGGTATTTGGATATGAGGAGAGCAGGGAAAGTAGGAACTCAAGTAGGGCAAACAGAATGGTACCACTGCTTAATCTAGCAGGTAGGAGCAATATTTATGTAAATCTGTGAAATTGTACGTACGATAGTGTTTTTAAAAAGCAACAAGTAAAATGTTTGTCCAACCTATACTTGTGGAAAAGGAATGAAACTTATTATAACTGCTAGCATTGAATGATAGTGAATTTTACAATGTTATAAATTAGTTTACACAAATATTTTAATTTGATTTTGTTGGGAGATATAAGCTTTTTGAAACACTCAAATTCATTTCTCGAACCAATTAGTACCAAGCAATACATGTAAAGTTTCTTGCTCATGGAAACAATGGCTTGCCTCAGACATGGTTTGAACTGAGACTTCCAGCAACCCTTAAATTACATGTTAAACATTTATGATTGTTTTGCAATAATCATGTTAAAAGCCCTAGATTCATAGGTCATAAGTTTTAAGATTGCTTTATTTTTAAGGTACATGTTTTGATGTTGATAGTAATTTATTGTCAGCCTGTAGATAGGGCTGTTGTATGTTAATCAACTAAATATCATGTATCTCTTGAAGTACTGGATTTGTTGAAATGTATTTTTTAAAGGGACTCCACTGAGGTTTAAAAGCCTAAAAACATGACATTTGAATTACTTACATAAATGAGCTGGGGCACTTTAAACAGAAATTAATGCAAAGGTAGTAAAGAAATATACTTTGAAATAAATAGAAAATCGTATATTTATGCTTTTCTGAGCCCGATTTGAGTGAAAAGCGTTTAAACGCTTTTCATTTTGGGTCCTTTTTTTACAATTTGAATAATAATTTTTGAAAAACAAAGTGCGCCAATGATCTGATATTTTGCACAAAAGTTAGTGGTCTAAATCTACATCAAATGGTACATTTATCTTGAAAAAATATTTTCAGTCCCATCATGTCAAAAAAACCTCAGTGGAGTCCCTTTAAATAAGAATTCACATTGGAGCATACTGTATTTAAGTTACACAATTATATGTGTACAATATCATGTAATTCTTAAGGTAGTGGTACTGAAATTATTGGAATGTACTTTTAAATATGAATTTTATCTTGGAGCTGTATTATATTGATTTTATTATCTTTGTTTATATATTTAGTTATATATTTAATATCAAATGATTATAACATGATTATTATATTGTTGTGTATTATATTAACTGGCAGTTTGACTAATATATTTCCTATGTTTGTTTTTTATTCACAGAGACTAGTGAGGAAGATTCCCAGTAACAATGTCTCAGTTTCTATAACACTTGACTTGTTATAATATAACCCAATATTTTATATATAATATATTTTATATCTCATCATATTATACATGTACCTCATCAAAGCTTTTAGCTTGATTTTTAGCTCACCTGTCACAAAGTGACAGGGTGAGCTTTTGTGATCGCTTTTCGTCCGGTGTCCGTCCGGCATCCATCCGGTCGTAAACTTTTACTTTAAATGACATCTCCTCATAAACCACTAAGCCAATTTGATCCAAACTTCACAGGAATGTTCCTTTGGTGGTCACCTTTAAAAATTTGTTCAAAGAATTTAATTCCATGCAGAACTCTGGTTGCCATGGCAACCGAAATAAAAAACTTTAAATATCTTCTTTTAAAGAACCCAAAGAGCTAGAGCTTAGATATTTGGCATGAAACATCTTCTAGTGAGTGTCTACCAAGTTTGATCAAATAAAAGCCCTGGGGTCAAAATTTGCCCCGCCCCAGGGGGTCATTGATTTTCCCTATATGCATTTAGTAAAAACTTAAAAAATCTTCTTTTAAAGAACCCAAAGAGCTAGAGCTAAGATATTTAGCATGAAACATCTTCTAGTGAGTGTCTACCAAGTTTGTTCAAATAAAAGCCCTGGGGTCAAAATTGGCCCCGCCCCAGGGGTCATTGATTTTCCCTATATGCATATAGTAAAGACTTAAAAAATCTTCATTTAAAGAACTCAAAGAGCTAGAGCTTAGATATTTAGCATGAAATATGTTCTAATGGGTGTCTACCAAGTTTGTTCAAATAATAGCCCTTGGGTCAAAATTGGCCCTGCCCTGGGGGTCATTGATTTTCCTTATATATATGTGTATAGCGAAAACTTAAAAAATCTTCTTTGAAAAACCCAAATAGCTAGAGTTTAGATATTAAGCATGAAACATCTTCTAGTGAGTGTCTACAAAGTTTGTTCAAATAAAAGCCCTGGGGTCAAAATTGGCCTCGCCCCAGGGGTGTCATTGTTTTTAACTATATGTGTTTAGTAAAAACTTAAAAATCTTTTTTTAAAAAACACAATGAGCTAGCGTTTAGATGTTTAGCATGAAACATCTTATGGGTGTCTACCAAGTTTGTTCAAATAAAAGCCCTTGGGTTAAAATTGACCCTGCCGTGGGGGGGGGGGGGGTGGGGGGAGAAGGTCATTGTTTTTCATTATATGTGTGTAGTAAAAACTTAACATCATGAAACATCTTCTAATGGGTGTCTTCCAAGTTTGTTCAAATAAAAGCCCTGGGTTTAAACTGGCCCCGCTCCGGGGGCCTATATACAGGTGAGTGACCTCAGGGCCATCATGACCCTCTTGTTTTTGTTTGTATCACATTCCAGACTCTAATCATTTCACAAAAGTGTGAAGAATTTTTTTTCTCAATTTTCATTTGTTTCTTTTCTTTATAAAGGAACTGAAATAACTGTTATATATTTGTTATATAAGTGTTATATATTTAACTGTGATATGAAAAATTAAAAATAACAACAAAAAACAACCACTAAAAACTTGTTTTCCTCATTTAAAATGCTTTCTAGTGATCCTTTCTTAAAAAGATTCTTTATTCTATCATTTCAAAGGCATTCATGCTTAAAGCACTTGTGTTGTTATAAAAGTCTTCAAAAGGCTTTACTTTAAATTTCTCAAAGATAATGAATTTCTAGTCAGTCTTTTGTTTTTGTTTCCACATATCCATGAAGTACAGTCTGTTTTTTTTTTTGGTTTTCTAATATAATCTTCATAATTATATATTAATATTTTGATTTATCTATTTCACAGGGTAATCAAGTTTGCTGTGTTGACACTGCCCTCATTTTATGTTTTACACCTCTTTAATATTAAATATTTACTGCCAGTTTTATATCCCAGCATGCTTCCTTCTTTTATCTCTAATCATTAACCGTTACCTAGGCAACAGTAGTGATGAGGATGACAGTATCCTCTCTGACACCAAACCAGATTATAAACCTGAAGTCCAAGAAAATCAGCCAATTAAACAGAAGCCTGGTTCCTTGTCTGAAGTGAAAGCATCAGTGAATGCATGGGGACCAGCTGTTATCCATGAGGAATCTAATGAAACAGATGAGCAGTTTTCATGGCAACAACCAATCAGGGCAGAGAATAATTATTTAGATGAGAGCCCATCACTATGGAAACATAATGGTTCACCTGTGAGTTATGAATATTCTGAAGAAAAAGTTGATCCACAAGCTTATATAGAAACTAAGGCAACAGACAGCACAAGGTATTCAAACATTTTTACATCATTCTGAAATATATACATATTCTAAATTGATGAAGACGGGAACAATTGTAGTTTTCTTTTTTTATTTAAAAAATTGTTTGTAGATTTTTAGTCGTGTATTGCAAGACAGTGAGTGTGGCATGAAAATTATAAAGTATTAAACATAACACTGGCTTTAGAGAAGACAACTTTAAACTTTAATGGGGAAAACCAAGATGATTATTGTTCAATATATTACAGGGGTCTAGAAATTGTGAGTGTTGATCGTGAGTCAGAGATACCGGAACAAGACAGGGAGGAATGGAAACACCTGTTTGATCCAGCTGTAGAAATACAGGTAAACAATGTTACATGATTTCTAATGTGTTATGAAGCATGCTATTTCATATTAATTACGAGTACATGATAGTAAAATAATTGCCCTTCCAGAACTTGATGTTAACATTTCAGAGGAAATGGATATTTATAATTAGGGTCTATCTGCCTGTTAAGGCACAAAACAGCTTTTGCTATTAATTATGAATCCCAGACATGTCATCAATATTGCCCTTTTAAGATTTATTTTTGAAGCACAAATTAGTGATAATTTACCTCTGTGCATTTCCACAGTGTATAATCCAAACAAATGAAATTTAAGCCAAATTTCATGATTAGAAACCTATCATACTTACAACTTACCTTTGATCTGTAAATTAAATTTTTCAAAAGATTTTATCTTCTATGATTTGTCTTCTATCAATTTGCTGTATTAAGCAGGAAGAAGTGCAGGAACCAGCTGAAGTTGTAGAAGATGATGTGGAGGAGAACCAGCCATTCCTTATGCAGCTCATTAACCAACCAAAACCTCAAAAATCTAAAAAGAAACCTACTTCAGCAAGAGGGAAACCAGTAAAGTCAAGAGTAAGACAATCTATAGAGGAAGCTGGGTACCAGAGGAAATGGAGTCGTTCCAGTACAGCATGGTCATCATACAATCAGGGAGAACTGAATACAAGCTCTAGTTTAAGGTAAACTATTTAACACTAGAGTTCAGTAAAAACAGACTGCCCAAAGTAGGTTTACTTTATGTTTAACAGCGAAATTGTTTTTGTTTATCTCAATTTTCCATTTAGACATGTTATATTTAGTCTTCAACAGATTTTCTGATTTGGTACAAAATAGCTATGTCAGTGTATACTTAGTATATCTTAAGCATATCATTTTATTAATAAAAACATATTTAAGATCTTAAATTGTTTAATGGAAATGACAATAGCTGTCATGTAAATAGCTTGGCTTAAAATTACAAAAAATATAAATGTTCAAGAAATCAAACTTTCTTGTTTAAGAAATGTCGCAGGGTGCGTAAAAACGTGTAGCCTGACCGGGACTTGAACCACTGGGACCTTTAGAAAACCGTATCGATTGTATTTTGCAAAATATGATGGAATTTGCAATATTCTGCCCTGTCAATGATGGACTAAGAGAATTCTTATGCAGTATATTTTGAGTTTAAGGCAACATTTGTAGATACATGTAGTTAGATTAAATCACATTATTTGTACATTTGAAAACATTTTTACTCATTTGAACAAAACTTTTTTTCATAAAAATATACAGAAATCTGAAAGAATACTGTTTAATATATTATTTTAATATAAGTTTATTATACTTGTTTTTTCAGATCAAGTTCTGAAATTACTAAAGCAAGACCTACAAGTGCCCCAAAATCCAGGTTTAATAGCAGTCTTGATGTAAGAGCATCAGGTGGGAGGAACTCACCAAGTACAAGTATCATTGGACAGAAAAGAAGACCTGGTAGTGCCCCAAAATCTCGAGTTCTAAGCAGTGATGTACAAGCATCTGTTGATACTGACATGCAAGCATCTTTATATCAAGATGCTAGAGTCAATTCACCTAGTAAAAGTAGAGACAAGCTGGCAAGACCAAGTAGTGCTCCCAAGTCACGCACTGCTTATAGTGATCTGCAAGCATCTGTTAACATTGATGTGTCTGAAGTCAGTGAAGGACACAGACTGCTAGCTAACCTATCACAGGCTCACATTGGGAGTAATGACATGCAAGCTTCTGTCAGCAATGATGAAAACAAAGCTTTTGGTGATGTTGATGATCTTTTGGCAAGATGTGATGACACTTTAGAACAAAGACCCCCACAAGGTGACACAACAGAAAGCAAAAAAGTTATGCCATCTTCTTCAGAATCACGCAAAAGGTAAATTATTTTTGTAAAGTTACTTGATCAAAGTAAAAGAAAACTAAAATAGAAACAAAATTTCATTATTTGCTACTTCAGTTCCTTTTTAAATATATACATGTGTTACATTCCAGGAAATTCCAGAAAAAGAAAACAAAGAAGAATGATGACCTTGGCCTTGACCTTGAACTTGAACTAATTAATGAAATGGTGGAGCATCGCCTTCCAAAACCAAGTGCGATGGACAGACTGTCAGGTAAATTTTTACAAAATTATTACCATTCTACATTAACAGTAAATTATAAAGTTAATATTTCTTAATTAAATATGGAGAAGTTATAATCTTCCTTGAGTTAAAATATCTTAACATGAGGATTTATTTTAAAAAACACACAACCACTTCTGAAAATAAAGCATAAGTGATAGACCTAATATATTTTTTGGTAAAGTCATACAAAAGTGTACAATTAAACAACATGACCAGAGTGATACAAGTTTAAATGTCACATTATTATAGCTATTCTTGAAGTTTTATATATTTCCAAATTAAACTAATTAGAAATTGTTTTTCATGTACTTTGTTCTGTTCTCCAATGTAAGATGTGTTGCATGTTTTTGCTAGTATCCTTTTTATGTGTTTCTAATGTTTATCTTTTGTAAAAGTATATATGATATTTATCTAAAACTATTTTTATAAGATACTTGGAAACAACAAACCATTTACTTGTAAGAATGTTTATAAAATATCTTAGATAAGTCTGAAGTCCACATACTATATATAGGTACATGTACCAAGGTTATTAAGTTGAAATACATGCACACAGATAAAGGGTAAAATATGCAGTTTAAACAGAGTAAATATGCAATTTAAAAAATGAAGTATAGTTGAAGAATCTTTTTTTTTTCATTTGAAATACTTTTAAAATTCAGTTATAAATATATTCTTAAACTCTTAAGAGTTGAAGATTTTTTTTTTCAGATTTTCATTAGAGCTATAACTCTTTTCAGTGTTATAATACAAAAATAAGACTAAGTTTATGTACTTATGAACATCAAAATGGAACTATTCATTATATATTATGTTATGTTAAGACATCATGTACTACATGTAGTTTATGTGCATGTTTGCTTTAAATGTTTGTAACAACTCATGTAATCGAGTCGTCATTACACCAAATTTCAGTTAAATCACCAGAGTCAGCTGACCCGGGTATATCATCTTTATATAAATACCCCCCATGTTTTATTTGTTGCATTCTCTCCCTTGGTTTTTATATTGATGTATTGAGTTAAAGTCAAAAATTATTGTCAAAGTTTTTTAACTTTTTTTATATCACATTATGATCGCACAAGTTATCTGCAATTTCTTCTATCTCACCATACTACATGTATATACAGAGTGTGCTTAATACTTCTTCTATAAAGTTTATATTAGTTTCATGTAGAGGTGTTTTGTTGATATGTACATGTACAACAAAAAAGCTAACTAATTTAACTACTACCATGTAACTTTCATATTGAAATAAAATTTGAAATAATACAGTCAAAGCTAGTAAAGGTTTCATTTTGGACTGAATATGTTGTGTCTTAGAAGTTTTGTTTTAACATAAGTTATGTAAATAGAAATGAAAATGAAAAATTGTTTTTGGACAAATTTCTTGTTTTCACACATGTATTTTAGTGTTCAAAGTTGTTGTGTTCACAATATACATGTATGTCTGTTCACAAGAAATATGTCTGTTTACAAGCTACATGTATGCTTTATATAAAATTTAAATGTTAATTTTGTAAAATTTCATTGTGTTTTGTTAGTTTGATCCGATAGCAATCAGTATACAGTTATTTCATATGTGATTTGGGAACAGTCAAACTGTTGGCCCGAGGTGGAGGGGGTAGTGTTTTGAACTGTTCAAAACACTATCCCCGACACCGAGGGACAACTGTTTGACTGTTCCCAAATCACGCATGAAATAACTGTTTTATTACCTGATCAACTACTGTTTTAACAGTATTTGCAGAAAAAAAGGAACAAGAAAATAGTTTTGCACGTATGTTAATAATTAAACTTAATATTTTAACTATGTCACGTCACGTCTGGTTCATGATCAAGATCGATGGACGCTTCAAATGGGAATCCTATATGACGTCAATGACGTCACAGCACGAGAGGGAAACAGTCGAAACTATTGACCTGTCAACAGTTCGCGAACGTTGACGTTTTTAGAATTTCAGAAAACAGTAAATAATAACAAATTACATTTATATAAGGTATCAGGTAATAATAAAATATGAATTAAACCTTTATTTCCACAGCCTCATATTTACATGCCGATTTGAACACTGTTTCTGATATAACAGAACATAACATAGCAATTATTCAGTTATCTTCATATACAACTATATCATCTATTTTCTCATGAGCTTGAACCTAAATACCAGGACATACAAGACTCTGTGGTTACCACTGATTTCAATTATTTGGAGATTAATTTGTTATTTGATTTTGACTCAATATATCAATATTAAACCAGGGCTTTGCCTAACAGACTTTCTATACTTTCATTTTGTTAACCTATTTTTCTCTCCTATACTAACATATGTCTTGTTTTATGCTATGAAATATGATAATAAGGGGATGTAAAACTTGATGGGTTTATCTTCATAACAAAAATAAAACTGTTGCGCATTTAATCTTGAAAATGGGCTAAAAGTCTTTTCCTGAAAAAAAGGTTTTGTAAGAAACTCTAAAAACAAATACATGTATAAGAATAATTTTTAAGTGACAGTTAATTGACCATTGTTTTTGAAAAATTACATCTTGAAAAAAGAAAAGGAAAATATGTTACGGCTCTCAAGATTTCTTTCATATTAGTTTACTGACGAAAAGTTTAACATTTAATGGAATATCTGATATAATCAGCTAAGTGGTAGTTTTGAAGAGTTTACTGTAACAATGTCAAGTCATGTGACACAAGGAAAGGATCTTATTTAGGTGTACTCAGACCACATGACCTTTCATTGTTACATGACCTTTCATTTTCTTTTTCAATACTGAATTGTTCCAAGTAATTAAGATATCCTGCTGACTTACTGGAGGCTTGCTGTTCTACCAATGTACTAATTTATGTCCAAAACGACATATGGAGGAATCTTTGGTGTCTTTAGATAATCTGAGCTTAAAAGAGTTGTTGTCACATAATATCTGTACTATATCAGCATGACTTTAGACTTGTCAAAGTAGATACACTTTTAAAATGCATTAAATGTTGCACTACCTGCAAATTTCTATCACAGCTTGCCTGCCATGTAGATATTTGTTGTCTTTGGTATTTGTGTGTTGATCTATGTAGAGAGCTTGTACTGAGGGTTAAAGGTAAACTTGAGATTGTAAACTAGTCTCAAACTCTGTGATATGATTGGTGGATTCTGAATATTGATTTAGAATTGACCAATGACAATGTTTTGTTTGTAGATTGGTCTCCAATTTTAAGTTTGTAAACTTTTACCCCTGGAATATAAAATCAGACTAATCTAATGCCTTTAATGTTTTATTCTTTAATCTCAAAGAAATAAGCTTTGTTTGATACTACACACTTACTTATGGTACACCCAGCTTTCTTTTAATCTTTCCTCTTCTTGATGAAAAGGTTTTTTGAAGAAAATGTGACATTTTGTATCATGGATTGAAAGGAATTGAATGCATAAACATAATTGTACTCTCACTTTATATATTTTACTCTTGTTAAAAGTTTAAATACACTTTTACTGTTTAATACATAAAGTGTTGATGATGTTATATTTTAACATATATTTACAGAGCACATGGCATCTCCCAGATCAACATATGATAAATATATTGAAATGGTAAGTATGATAAACACATGACAGATCTGTTAAGAGTAGTTTCTACAAAGATTTTCTAGTTAATTTTATTTAATAAAATAGTTGTTAAGACAAATATTTATAGAAATTATCAATTAGTCATGATATGGTCATTATTTTTTCTTTTCTTTTCGATTTAAACATACTTTATTGTCAAATAATAAACATGTGAATTGTGTGCATATAATGTCCCATCAGTACATTGTATTAAAAATCTATCAAAAAGGTTGACCAACAAAGTCTTAAAACATAGCAAGTATTTCCTGATTAATGAAATATTTACTTAGTTAATTCTGATATAAATGTTGATGTCTTTGATTAACAATGCTTGTAGTCTGTTTATTTAAATACATTACAGTATGATATAAACTGGTTAATTTCACCTGCTACATGTATATTGCATTATTTTTTCATCTTGCATATTACGCTATGGTATCAATTGGTTGATTACACCTGATATATTTTCAGACACCCCGTATACAGGCAGGAACTGTATCCAGGTGGCAGTGTTTACCAGATGAGATTCTCATACATGTTTTCTCATATCTCGACCAATCATCATTGACCAAATGTGCTCAAGTTTGTCAACAGTACTATAGAGTTGCCATGGATGAAAGTTTATGTAAGTTCTAAAGAGTAGGCATGGATGAAAGTTTAAATAATTTTTTCACTTTGACATGCTTATATTTAACATACTGATAACTTAAATGTTTGATGTTCAAGTAACTTTAAGTGCATCTCTCAACTCCTTTTGCTATGAATTGTCAATTTGCCTTATGTAGGCCTAATGAGGAATTTTCAGAATTTCCTAATGTAAATATAATTGTTATAACAATTGTTTCAATGTTTGTTTTATGACATACAAGTGTTCTACACTAGTACAAACCTATATTTCTGTAAGTAACACATAAACCAGTTGCATTGGCTCTCAACACATCATTTGAAAGACTGGCTATAGGTTCAAAATTTACACCATGCCTTCACACAAAATAACAACATCTTACTTCATAAGTTATTGAACATGTGAACCATCAGTTCAACTTTTATGGAGTACTTCAGTTGTTTAGTGTTTTGAAGTAATTTATTAATGTTTTAGAAAAGCACATAACTATAATGACATAATTTATGCATGTTTTAGGGAAGTACATTACTATAAAGAAGAATGATATAGATGATAGTTGTTTGGAGGAGATTGCTAAACGACACCCGGTCAGTCTAGCCCTCATACAGTGTCAAGGTGAGAGAGTCACAGCTAGGGCTCTGAGGGATCTCTTCAGGGAATGTTCTCAATCTCTCAAGGTAAAGTGAAAATCAAATCTGTTGCCCCTCATTGCTTTTGGATGATGTCCCATAAGGAACTTTGGATTCATTCATGTTAGGGAACTTTCCAGTAAGCTTATGAAAAGTTAGATGTTTTTTCACAGGTATCCTCTCGTGCCTAAAATGTATCCCCTCATATGTAAAGTAATTCATGGAGGGGCATCTTAGGCCTTCCTGGAGAGTTTCCATACAACCTTATTAGTGTTGGTTAGACTTAAGGTAGTGAATGCAAAACTTTATGTTTCATGTCAGATTTATTAAAAAGCCTATTTTAAAAAATACTTTCAATGTCTTTATTATGACCCAGAACAAAAATGGTTTTCTTTGCTCAAATCACCACATGACCTATAATTATGTTTCTTTTACTCAGATAATTTAGTCTTTACATTACCTTTAATAGTGAGCATTATCTTTACTTTGCTAATGTCTCCATTTTATTTTGCTTAAGCAGGGTGGTCGAAAGTATAAATTAATTTGTTAAATTTTGTGTGGTTATCTTTTAACTATATTCATCCAATTTATTTGTCTAACATCTTCAAAGATATTTAGGGCTTGGAAAAAAAGAAGAAAAAAATGTTACTGCTCTCACACATTGTATGTTATGAGCTTTGTTTGAATTCATACAGCTTAGTGAGCATGAAAATAAATTTGTAAAGTTTAACTTGTATGGGTTGATGGTTTGTAATCAGTCTTCTTTTATTACATTATTAACAACTTTTTCTTACAGATAAATCCATGTACATTTGTGCAATCAGTTTTTTTATGAGAACTGTTTGTCAACCAATTCGCCTATTTTGGTCAATTTAATGTTATATGTTTTTATACAGTTATAAATTTTGAAATCTTTCTTTAAGAAGAACACATGTATTATGTTTTGATTTTGAATGATTGCAGGAGTTGAATATTGCAAGATGTAGTCGAGGAGCTTTAAATGGTGACAGTTTATTACTACATGCCGCGGCACGATGTCACAATCTGACACACATTGATGCTAGCTGGTGTAGTCTCACAGATAGTGGGCTCATGGCGATATCTAATAGTTGTAACAGGTAAGGTGTAGTGTGACAGATAGTGGGCTCATGGCCATATCTAATAGTTGTAACCGGTAATTCTTATTCTTACATCATCTTAATGCCATGTGCTACTTATTTTACAGTTAACAAGTACTAATGCATCATATTTGTAATCTAGGGAAGGCTGGCCTGGTGGGTTTTAAAACCATGTCAGGTGCAAATGTTTGTTTCTTTAAGCAAAATTAATCACTCATTGCATAGTAATGGTAGGTTCCAGGAACAGATTTGTGTCCATAAGCTTATTGCTTCCTATACAATCAATCTGAAATAAATTATTTTAGTAACTTATTAAATTCAACATTTAAAAGTTTGGCCTTAATAAATATTTTTGAGTTATAATAATTATCCAGGCAATATTTTTACATTAGCAGTAGACAAAATATAGAGCCTTATATCATGTATATACAGTAAAAAACCTCAATTAAGACCACCATCGGGACTGGACCAAAGTGGTCTTAATTGCGGGGTGGTCTTAATTGTGGATATTCTTATCATTGCTTACACACGTTATGACCAGGGCCTATTTTAGTCATTTTGTATGAACAAACAATATGTATCTTAACCTGCAAATACAATATGAAAGTATGTTATAATGTTACATCTGATGGGAAGAAAACATATTTCTGAAGAAATTTAATATCAAATTTTCTTTGTTCTGATTTCAATAGTAATTATTGTATGATGTACATAATTCACATATCATATCAGACATTATTTCTTCACAAAACAAATGTGCATAAAGCAACATTAAACCACTATGAAATTAACATTCTCACCTTTTTTCATTAAATATCCCATAAATAACAGTTTTTGACACCTTGTGTAATCAAGTGTCATGCCTAAGAGCAATCAAGCAGATAATAACAACATAACAACACATTTAAGATCTAGGTAGGTGTTAATTTTAATATCAGTGGTCTCAATAGTGAGGTCAAATAAAGAACAAAATAATGAATTGGGACTGAGTTTGGTGGTCTTAAAAGTGGATAAGTGAGGTGGTCTTAATTCTGGATCATGTAATAATTGACATAAAGAACAGAAAATTCTGTTCTTTTAAAAACTGGTCTTAAAAGCGGGGTGGTCTTAAATCCGAGGTGGTCTTTAGTAGGGATTCTACTGTATATATGTAGTGTAAAGCTGATCCTTCATAAGTAATACTGTTGTAAATGTACTACTAGTATACATATACAACATATAATGATGAAATATAGCAGGAACAGCATTTTCTAATATACACATTTTGTTAACAATTCTGAGTGAAACTTGACTGTGATTTTCATTGTTTAATGTGCATTTACAAATAGGAAAGCTAAATTATAAATTGGTAGTGACATTTCCCATTCCTACTTGTTAGTTCAGAAATATAGATCCTGTTATGGTGTGATAGTTTGAAACATTTGTAACAAATATTTCAGACTGGAGAGTTTATGTATTAATGGATGTAGTGCAATCAGTAATGATGGACTTGAGACAGTCATGAAGAAGCATGGAGTTCACCTCCGGGTCCTAGAGATGTTTGGATGTTTTAATCTATCTCCAAGAGGACTCAGATCAGTGGCCAATAACTGTATAAACCTTATTACACTCAACCTAGGACAGTGCTATAAGGTACAGTAGTAAAGTGACACAAGTTAATTGATGTAACTTTAGGAAACATAGTAACCAGTAATATTATACCTTTATAATACTGCACATTTGTAATGTCGCTTTTCATTGGATAATCATGAATGAGCAGTTGTCAATTTATGAAGAAATCTCAGTGTTTTGTCTAAAAAAAATTATGCTTGCTGTATTATAAATTCACAATAAATATTTCTGACGGGTTATATGGTGGTATGTGAACGGTTGTTTGCAATATAATCCTTACCTAGCGGGTTGGTCTTAACAATTTTATCGGATAGCTAAAATTTAGTTGTATATAACCTCCAGGATGATTTTACAAAGTCTCCAATCTGATTTCCAAAAATTTTCAGTACATATTCTAAATACAAAATTTATTAACAATATGATTTGTTTCTTCATTGAACTTCACCATTGTGGTCTGGTAAAATATGGTATGATATAAGAAATAGCTTACAGTACTTCACACATTATACATGTAGTGACCTCCCAGTCAGCCCTAAAGATTTAAATGATTGCTTGCTTACTGATCAGTCAATATAATACTGTGAGACCCTCAGTGATGAGTAGTTTTTTCTTTTTAAGAGTATTTTAAAACTTCTCTGGGTACCAATGTTTTATTTCTAAAGATGATTCCTACTTTGCCAAAAATTCTAGCAGTAGAACTTAAATGATAAACTTTTGAATTTGTTTTGCTCAAAAGGTCGGAGAAAGTTGGCATAAAATATTTTAGGTATGATATAGCACCTAGAGTAATTCACCATCATTCTATATTTGGTTTATGCCTACATCATAGAAGAATGGACATTAATTGTTTGTTTTTGTTTCAGTTAACAGATTCATGTATATCACAACTATCTACAAGTTTAGGTCGGGTAGAATGGCTGGACCTGCGCGGATGCAAACAGATTAAGGACAACTGTATGAGGCGTATTGTAAAGAATTGTACAAGGCTCAAACATCTGTCCCTGGCCAACTGTCCTAACATTACTGATGTGTCTATCCTAGAAATCTCCACCTACCTCACTGATATTAGGTCTGTTTTTGTATTCTGCTGTGTAAATATAGCAAAAAAGCTTATAGGATATCAAAGTCTTTGATTAAATAGATTCTTATACCATATATTTTAATGTTTTCAAGTTTTACCAATATTTTGAAAAAAAAAAAACAACTGAATTTAGTTATTTTGTTTTAAGTTTGAAATACTAACAAATACAACATAACATATTGTCAACATATTTTTTTTAGAAATAATAAGACTGTAAGGCTTAATTAATGGACTTATAGGATTTAAATAAGGTAGCACAAAATCTAGCCTTGATAAGACATGGTAGATTGAGATAATGAGTGTCAAACCGCAACTTTTTATCACTTTACTGTTTAGTTAAAATGCATTTGTATGTAATTATAAAGTTTTATTTAAGAGATGATATATCCCCAACAGTGACAATGTGCATACTTATGCACATTTTCAATCCTTCTATGTTCAATATGGAAAAATGGGGGTCATATTAAAATGTATATTTGTATGTGATGTATTTACATGATTTAAGCACAGAAACAATGATAATAATAATGATAATAAATAATAAAGTCTTTATTTAAAGAGGCTACACAGTTGCAACAAAGGCAATCTACCCTCTGGGCCTTATGAAATGTGCATATTACACAGTGTACATATAACGGGATGGACCAAAACTTATGTTTACCTACATTATCTAAGGTCCTTGTATGTTTATGTTTACCACTGCCTGCAAGATTAGTATAAATATTGTTTTAAAAGATGATGCAAAAAAAACTATAATTATTTGGGTTTTTAATGCTTGAAGATAAGTGAATGTTGAATATAATATTTTGTTACAGGAGCATAGATCTGTGCGGATGTAAAAATATAACAGATGGAAGTATTCGGGCATTAGTTAACACATGTTCCAATCTCAGGCATATAGATATCAGCTCAACTAGTTGTACACATAGAAGGTATGTTACATTATTTATTCAATATATTTATTTAGCTAAGGATAGTTTTATTGTAAAGATGAATAAGTACCATTGATACATACTCATTTATTCTCTTAATGTAATTTAGGTATTATTATAAGTAAAGGTGTCATAGATAAAGTTTTCATAAATGACACATAATTTAACATATTCTTATTTATTATGTTGGTTAAGACTCGATCAAACCGAGTCTGCAATTTTCATGTCATTTTGATGTAATTTTGAGGGATCACCTCTGTCCAGATTTTAAATTAGACGTTATTGGTTAATCCTTAACACACTAAATAGATTTGTCCATGTTTTATTTTGGATGAAACCATTATTATATTCAGGGGAATTTCCATTGTATTTACTGATTATAACAAACATTTTGATCATGAATGTGTTGGGTTGATCTTGATCTGCAGTGGTTGAATGTGTAGAGTTTGTTGAAATCATCGGGCATACTGGTCAGGGACAATCAACCTGACACTTTTTCAACATTTTTCCATACATTTCATAATTTTAAAGCTAGAGAATTTAAAAGTACTGGTTTCCTAGCAGATTCCGTCCCCTAGCAGTTTTCCGGCCGTTTATCATTTTCGTCCAGTACAGTCTATTTTTACCGGTAAGACATCCACATTACTTCATCAATCACAGAGACATTTGTTTTCTATGCTAAACATCATTTAAAATAGTACAACGATTTACATAAGTTTTGCCTGTTATCTAAAGTTACATAAGAGAATATGCGACTTTCAAAAATAAGCAACACCTGGGGAATTCTAGTTTGAATATCCATGCACAATAACTAAGACCCCATTTTAGGAAAATCAATTCTTCAGAAAATATTTTTGCAGACAACATGAATAAGGTTGGGAAGTTCTGTTTGTCTGATAAAACCATCTTAACAGTGCTTTAGGGTACTGAATTATATTCAAAATAAAAAAAGGTCCGGAAAACTACTATGAATTTTTGAATAAAGGTGAAAAAAGGTGTTACATTTCAGGCATATATTCAAATTAAAAAGTAAAATGAAAGTGCAACATTAAAGACGTGGCAATGCTGGACAGGTACCTAACTTTGTTCTGTCAAAGTTTTGTACCACTCCCTAGACTGATTTTTATTTTATTTGTTAAAAAGTGCGATTTGTGGCCGGAAACTGCTAGGAAACCAGTACCGTTTGTTTATTTCTGACTATGTCAAAGAGGGTATCAAAATTACCTAAATTGTCCACACTACAGTATCATGTGTCCATACCGATATGCATATGACCTCTATTTAATCCAGTTAAAAGCTTGAGTGGTTTAAGTTCTTATTTTTAACATGATATACAATATTTAAGCAGTAAATGCTGAAGTTTTGAATATTCTATTGTTTACTCTTTAAACAATTATAGCTAGTATAATAGGTTAGGTATTGCACTCTTGATGTCCAAATTTTCAGTGTCAATGTTCTTGAAATAAACATTAAAATATTATCGTTTACAAAAGAAAAATAATGAATTTAATTACTTTTCTTATATAAGAAACATGCATTAATTGTTGATAATAAGCAACTAATTCACTTTAAGTAAAAAAAAACTAAATCCGGCATTTTCAGGGCCATCCAGGTTTGATGAATGACCGGGTTTGTTGGTCCCCAACCAGTAGGGCTCATATTTTAACTAAGTAATAAATAATAGGCTAGCTACATATTCTTTATTTCAGTGTGTCTATGATAGCAAATTTTAGTGGTCAGAGACTAGAAACATTGAAGATCAACTTCCTGTCAGATGTTACCGAGCAGTCGCTGATTAAACTGGCCAAACATTGTCACCGTCTGCAAACAGTGCACATGTACGGATGTACCAGTGTTAGAAACATTGACAAAATTAAAGAAGAAAGACCAACCTTCACTATTGAAATGTAAACTCTTCACAACAAATTATACAATCAATCAAGTGTCAATGAAACGTTTTAGAATGAAGAAAATTGAAACAGACAAAACCTTTGTTAAGTTTAGTTGGCTCTTTGACTGTTTAAATGTTGCAAAGATTTTGTAGACCGAAGATCTTATAATACATGCCCTGTGTAATCAGTATAGTCACAAAACATGCTGTACATCACTATTGTTTCCACAAGTTTAGTTTTGTAAGATTGTAAGAATTAATAAATAAACATTAGAATTTCAAAATGAGCTAAATCATTAAATTTATTAAGAGGGGCTTAATAAAGGGGAAGTTTTTCTTGTTACCATATGATACTTACTTACTTACTTACTGGCGTTCGCTGTTACCATATGATGATCCTCAATGTTTTTCAACTAAGTTTCAAGTATTTAAAAACAAAAATAAAACCATTATTTATAAATTAATAAAACTATTATTTATACATAAATATGTGTCATCCAAACTTTTTTGTGAATTTGGTTAGATTGAGACTGTTAGGGATAAAATTGAAATTATTACTGAGGGTTCCTCAGAAAGTAAAAAGCAATGAGTTTCCTGTAAAAGTCTTATATTTGTTTAAGAATCTATTCTTGTGTTAAACTTCATACATGCTTAGATTTATATTGTGTAGAAATTTATAATTTTAATCTTATATAAAAATAGAAAGATAATGAATAACTTAAATCATGATTATAATGTGCTGAGATAACAAGATTTATAACAAAATCAGTTTCTATTTTGATACACATGCTATCAATGTATTGATGTATAAAGGCTAAATATTGCCAATAAGGTATTGAAGAATTTAGTTCAACTAATATAATGTCTCTTGTTCAGAAAATATTTCAACACTGTTACGGGAAAATTGTTCTAACTGACATGTTATAATTGCATAAATGAAATATTTAAAAAATGTAGAAAATTGCAAATTTTGTAACTGTTATATGTTAAGAGCAAGCATATTTTATTTGAAATCATAGATTGTAAGTTTTAAGAATTTAGTATTTATAGCCTGACGAAGTTAGGTTGCTATTGGAACTTTCATAGTTACTCATTTATAAACTGATTTTCCAAAGTTCCTCAAAATTTTGTGAGCAAGTAAAGAAGTAAATTATTTTATTAATGTATACTTATAGAAGATCTTACTAAATTTTCATTTCCTCAGTAATTATTGTTATTTTGGGGAAAAAACAGTTACAGGAAACTTCCATAAAGATGATAGATTATTTTTTTTATTATTAAATGTATACATTTTAGACTATAAAAGAATTGAAGGCCATTGTATAAATAAGAGTGAAGTATTGTACTAAAATGTTTATTTAGCATTTATGATATTTGATCTTACATATTGATCTGATTCCGTCCCAGCAATTGTCTTGTTTATATATTATACATGTTTATTGATTCACATTCATTCTTTATTATATCATCCATAAAATATTCTGTGATATTTTCCAGTTCAAGTTGTTTTCTTTGTTTAAACATGTGATTCTCTGCATCATTTTTTTTCTTCAAACATTCATGTAATAGAAATAAAAATAGGGTAAATTGTATTTCATTAATATATAAATAATTAATGTAATTGGATATAGATTAGTTCTATTACAATGGTGCAGAGATAGTTTATTTGTTTATTTATGTAGAGAATCTCTGTATTAGAATTAAGGTGGTCCATCCATCCATAGATAGTATAAATTCAGCTTTATTTGATCACTGTTTTTATTTAATAAGGTAGTTAGTAAATATTAATTAGCATGTTGCTTATTGTTGTTGGTCCGAAAATAATTAACATGATGTTTATAGGAAAAATACATCAGTTTAATATGGTAAATATATATTTAAATATAATAAATGATATGGTGAACTTGTCACCTTAAAGACATTCTACCTTTATAAATCAAAGCACTAAAAGTGATGTTTTATATATAAAATTGTGTGATTTTGTGTGTTTGTCTTTCAATGTTGATGAAGCTATAAAAATTTAATGAGCTGGGCCATGACAAAACCAACTTAGTGCGTTTGTGACCAGCATGGATCCAGACCAGCCTGCCCATCTGTGCCAGTCTGTTTAGGATCCATGCTGTTTGCTATCAGTTTCCCTACTTGAAATAAGATTTGTAAGCGAATAGTATGGATCCTGATCAGACTGTGCGGATGCACAGGCTGGTCAGGATCCATGCTGATGCACAGGCTGGGCTTGATTCATGCTGGTTGCAAACGCACTATGTTTGCCTTGTCATGGAGCTTCTCAAGTAACTGATTCTTTTACTCTGCCATGCTCAATTATGTTTTCATGTGATATATTCATGTATTTATATGTAATGTTCTTTATTTCTCTGTCCCTGTGATCGACTGCTTCAATGAACTGTGTTCATAATTTATTAATGCATTTATTCTATGTAAGTCCTTGTACACTATCCATTATTCCCATCTATTAATTTACAAATGAGCTGTGTCATGACAAAACCAACATAATGCATTTGCGACCAGCATGGATCCAGATCAGCCTGCGCATCCGGGCAGTCTGATCAGGATCCATGCTGTTCGCTATCAGTTTCTCTACTTGTAATAGAGTTTGTAAGCGAACAGCATGGATCCTGATCAGGCTGCGCGGATGCACAGGCTGGTCTGGATCCATGCTGGTCGCAAACCCATTATGTTGGTTTTGTTGTGACACGGCTCAAATCATTTAATTACCTGATGTTGGTCAATATCCTTGTGTCAAATTTAAGATCCAACTCTTTTCATGTAATGTGACCTTTGTAAGAAATACGAGTACATTTCAAAATGAAAATGCAATACTTTAATATAAACTCTGTATCTGTTGTAAAAATATATTTTTTAATAGAAAACACTTAAATTTGATGGCATTTTGATAAGATTTAATCATGTTTCAATGATGGCCTACAAATCATGGTGAATAATTAACAAGTTATAGAAGTCGGTGCATTAAGAATAAAAAGAATTTCTAATATTACAATTAAACAGATTGACATATGTCTACCTCTGAAAGTATATTTTTCATTCAGATTAAAATTTAATATTTGGTACTTTACCTGTAATATCAATAAAATTTGTTATGATCTATTGAGAAACATGATATTGTAATAATATTTTAATATTTTTAATTCATTGAGGATAAGATTTTGACACAAACTTTAGTAAAATTAAATTTAGAGTTAATGTTAAGCCATGGTTTGTTTTATGTTCAATTAAATCACATATTGTCAAAGCTAAATAAGATGTCTTGGTGTCTTATGTTACAGTATTGTTCAAAGTTAAATCAGATGTTTTGGTGTTAAGTGTTACAGTATTGTTCAAAGTTATATAAGATGTTTTGGTGTTAAGTGTTACAGTATTGTTCAAAGTTAAATAAGATGTTTTGGTGTTGAGTGTTACAGTATTGTTCAGAAAGTAATTACTTCAACTATGCAATGTTTTCACTACAGTAGTGATACATGTATGTTCTTATGTGTGTATTTTCTAGAAGTGTTTGTTAAAGTTTATCAGATGTTTAATATCTTGTTTTGGCTTGTAAAGTTGTGATGTTTAAGTTTGTCTGTATATATTCATATTTTCTATTTATTTACAAGAATTAATATATTGTTTAGCATAATATATGTTTTAAAATGTTCAGAAATGCTTCAATGTTCATGAGCGATCTATCCCTTTTAGATTATATACAAATGTAATAATTTGTTTGTATAGTAGACACGTCAAGTAGTAGTACATGTAGTGGTATTCCAGAAACAATAAAGGTCATTTTGACCATCTAGAGGTCACTTTAACCTTTAACATAAGTGGTCACAAGCCGTTTTGTGTTAATTAAGTGTATTTTGTATTCTTTTTTTTTTTCGATGTTCAGGTTAAATGTTTCGAATTCTTGAAGGAAATAAGGAATATATTAAATGTCCGTATTATTTTTTATTTTATTTTTCCCCGAAATGGTCATACATGATACTGTTATTGACTTATTGATAGATCCCTACTTTGACCTTTTTATTGGAAAAACAATAGATTTAACCACAAGCATTGACATGTGCTCTTTTGTTAACAAATATGTTGTGGTAAAATTCTTATTGTATCCACTAATCTGATAATTTTAACTAGACATTAGACAGGTTAGGGATTGATGGATAAAAGGCATTCTAACTAAATCATAGCACAGAAATGTTTCAAATGCTAACGAAGATTGTGCTTTGACTACTAGTATGTCATTACTTTAAAGCAAGTTTACAATATCATAACAAACTGGACAAATCTATGATATGTTATGATATTGAAATCCCTAAAACTGATAATGGATTATACTAAATTAAAAGCAGGACAAGTACATTTGAAATAGATAGCATGGTAAGGATTAAAATACAAATGAGCCGCGCCATGACAAAACCAACATAAAACCTTTGCGACCAGCATGGATCCAGATCAGACTTCGCAGATGCACAGGCTGGTCTGGATCCATGCTGGTCGCAAACGTTTTATGTTGGTTTCGTCATGGCGCAGATCAAATTATATAATTTTCTCATGAATATTTTATAGGAATATTATTACCTTAATTCAGTTATGGGTTAATTCTTTATATTATTTAATAGGATTTAACCGAGTACTGCGCTCAGGTGATGATATGCATATGTTTGTTCAATTCAGTTTATGAATTTTGTACTTCTGGTCATCAATCAATACTTGTGAATAAGTACCACTCCCACATTTTTATAATTTATTTTATTTCCTCTATTTAAGGTAGGTTAGGTAAATCACATGCTTGGATTTATGCCTGGTAAATTACCATTTTTTATTATTGTATATTTATTATGCTTACTATCTTTCAGTTGTTCTTATTGGAACAGTTAATCATAAATAAATCTCTAAACTTGTTCTTAGTTTATCTTTCCTTGTATCAATTTTATCTTTGAGGTTAACACAAATGTTACAATACAACGTAGCATGAATAGAAAAAAAGAAGATACATTTTATATATATATATATATATATTTTTGTTATTATTATCATATGAGTCATAAATCATTTTATTGCCGACTACTGTAGAAGAAATCACACAACATTGATGGGAGAAATATTGTAACAAAAAGCAGAACATACAAATATCAACCCAGTGATGTTAGTCTGAAGGAATACATATCTGTTACACAATATAGTATGAGTTGCTTATTAAGAGAAACTAGTTTGCATGCATTACTAGTATACTGATTTTGGACAGTAAGCAAAGCATTGTGTTTTTGGTAAAAATAACACGCGGAATATGTGTTATGTTGTTATTTTAGAGAAAAATCGAAAAGCATAATTTTATGCATTGTGTTGTTGGTAAATAAATAGCCCACAGAATATGCATTATGTAATTATGTTACAGATTATACCACACAAATATGCATTGTGTTAAAATCGGAACAAAACACATGGTTTGTGATACATGGTGTTCTTTTTGAAGGAGTAAACGCAATACAAATGTATGCATAATTGCTGATGAAATGGAAACAAAACACAGAAATATGCATTTTTTTTTGTTGCTGGGAGAAAGAAAATTCGTGATGTTTTGCATTGTTTTGTTGTTTGGAGCGAAAAAGATACACGATAATATACATTGCTGTGTTGCTTGGAGAGTAAACACCCACTGATATATCATAATATGCATTGTGTTATTCTTAGTAGAAAAATATAGGACATTCATTGTTTCGTTGCTTGGATAGGTCATAAACACAATGTGATGCATTGTGTTCTTAAACACAGAAATATATACGCCGTTTTGTTGCTGGGAGACAAAATATACAATGATATGCATTTTGACAGAAAAACATTTGCTTCACCTATAGGAAAGGCATAAGATTGTCTTACTTGTGTCTTTCACCAGCACATGAACTTATAGAAATGAAGAATATAAAGCTAAGCACATTTGCAAATTTTATTTCTCGGAGCCAATGATAGTGTTACAAGTATTGGTTCTATGGACGAATAAACCAATAATGTTGGAAAATAACATAGCATTTGCAGCGTCAATTTACACTGAATACATATCAAAGAAATAAAATAGCTTACAGTAATCTTAGTCTTCTACAAATTGTTTAAAGGTATTCAGTCTGATACTCATAGAGATAGACAGAGAGTCAGTGAAGATTAAAACCAGAGATGTAGAAATACTGAAAAGGACAGAGACCGCAGGGAATAACTTACTAGTAATCTTAGTCTTCTACAAATTGTTTAAAGGTATTCAGTCTGATACTCATAGAGATAGACAGAGAGTCAGTGAAGATTAAAACCAGAGATGTAGAAATACTGAAAAGGACAGAGACCGCAGGGAATAACTTACTAGTAATCTTAGTCTTCTACAAATTGTTTAAAGGTATTCAGTCTGATACTCATAGAGATAGACAGAGAGTCAGAGAAGATTAAAACCAGAGATGTAGAAATACTGAAAAGGACAGAGACATGTAGCAAGATTTATACATCAAATAATACTGATTTAATATTTCATAATATATCTACTTTTTTGTGTGTAAAATATGTGTATAAAGTTCTTTCCTTTGTCCTGTTCAGTAGGTCATATTTTGGAAAAGTTTATGTTTAACTTGATACATTATCGATACCACATATTTTACCAAAAATGTACTTTAATTCACATATTCGTGACCTTTCAAAACAATGTTTGAGTACTGATAGACAAACAGGAAATAAGCAATTATAATGTATATTGTGTTAAATTTGATTTTATCTGCACTACTAGTATATGTAGAGCATTAATAAAGTATTTTTGTTACAAGTAATCAAAACAATTTCAATCTAACCAGGATACCAATTTATTCGCGCATTCATTGCACTTCACTGTACTTTCATATTTAATAATAGTACTTTCATATTTAATAATAGATACATATCTATAGATAGAAATAATATTATGTGTAAACTGAAAAGGGTCGATCATGTTTATAAAATGAGACAAACTAATTTCACTGGTGAAAAAATCACAAAATTTAAGCATTGTAAAGAAGCGTACAAGCACGACTCATCCGTTTACAGTACACAATCAGAGTTTTAAATAGTTCAATTTGTTATTTAATAAGTGATATTTTTATTTGTACAGAAAAAAAAACATTCCAAATGTAATAGTAAGATTACAAAAAAATAGATATACTGCTATTCCAAAACGGTGGGTAAATGGCAAAACATTAAACTGATTTATAAAAGAAAACCAACTGAAACTGTAAATTTCTTTCTGTACGTTGATTTCAACTTCCACAATGAAACTCACGGTGTTGTATAGTATGACAAAAATAGTATGAATGTGTTAGTATGGTCCATTATCACGACATGTTTGTTTCAACAATTTTGATTCAGTGTTAACGCCTATACTTTTGCATGGTGACGAAATATGGGGAACACATCACCAAGATGCAACTGAAACCGTGTATAAGTACGCAGTTTTAAAATATATGAAACACGCAATATGGCCACTTGACATTGTGATCGAGAGTAACACTCTGTTCATTGCAGCTACAAAGGGTATAAATTTTTGATAAAAACAAAAAAATGCAGATAAAAAGGCTGGTTAAAAAGGGTCTTAACAAATGAGCAACTGGATATCAAGAAAGAGACTTTGATTACGCACGGAAAGGGGACCAAACTACATACGAAACTATTTTTTTGCATATGTGTTGCCATTAAGTGACTCTTAAATGTCACTAGAAGAGAAATGAAAATAGATAGAAACTTATATTTTATAGTCAATGCTCGTGTACACAAGTCAAACACATCTTGTTTACACTTTTATCTGTTTATATATATCTAGACAATTGAGATTAGCAAAGTCCAACGACATACATGTATATTAGAGAAAGCACAAAGCTTTTTTCTGAAAAAAATACCTTTATGAAATTAAAGAAATGTAAAATTTTCCCAGAAATTTGTTCAATAATCTCTTAAGGACAATATATAATGAGTATAATTAAAAGTACGAAGCAATGTTCCTTTAGTTAGTAGCCCCTGTAGAATTATACGAAGGGTTGTTTGTGTAAATTCTTGTCGTTTCACCAGGTGGATCCTAAAATAAATGAACAACTTTGTAGAGTACAGTAACAATTTAATACAAAACAGTATCACAGAAGATCGTGCATGCATTATAAATGATTTATCATAATTGTACAATTTGATCTATATATATGATGTAAAGGACTAGACAAGTAAAATATTTGTCCGGCGATGTAATGATGATATGTATTGAAGGATGAACTTAAACATTATGCTGCTCACAGAACATTCAGCTTGAAATACGTATTGTAAGATATTTTTTTGTTGCTTAAAAGTCTGTCTGTTTTTGTCAACTTATTACAGATATATTTAATTCTTGCTCTTGTTGTTGTTGTTCATAGTAAACGACTTCCGGTGCCTTCATTCGGAAATGTTTGAACTCTTTGTAAAACGTGGCAAAATATATCACGGTGATAAATGCGACCAACCATTCTGATATCGTCGCCACCAGATGTTCTGCATAACCCTAGAATGAGTTTTCGAAGTTTCAACATATAAAATTTTAACAAATTATCCAAATTGTATTTGTCTGCTTCACATTTTCTTTGGCCCAAAAAAGAAGCTAAAACAATCCTTTTACACTTAAATGTATATCGAATACAAAAGAAAAAGAAAACGTATCAAAAAAGTATTGGTATTTCAATATAACATGTTTAACTATATTATTATATCACTTATAATGATACATGTACATATATATTCTTACCGTAGTATATGTAGAAGCAAAATATATTTGTTCAAGTACGAAAGTATATGTGTTAAAATACGATGGTTTTAATAGTATCATGCAAATTTACAATGATGTACACATATAGTAACAAAGTTAGGATAAGGTTATATATTATATAACTTAGCACCGGAATTATTTTTGTTGTTCACACTTTAAATGTAAGATATTTCACATTTTTATATGTGCTTTCGAAATAGAAAACGAACTTCAAAGATTGTCAACAGATAGTCAAAGTATTGCTGTGTACATATACAATTCAACAACACTATAAGCAAAGCTGTTTATTTAAAAAACTTCCATAAATTACGAATTTATAAACAATGTCCTTTTTGCCATAAACTAATTGCAGACTAAAAATAGCTCATCCGGAATATTCACACATTAAAAACAATCAAGAACATGACTCGCGTGACAGTGGAGATATTTACATTGGTAAAGGGCACAGCTAGGAAAAAAACATGTAATCGGTGGTAAACTGTGTATATTTGTACTGATTGTTTTCATTATTAATCATATCATTAGCATATTCAATGAATAGGAAAACGCATTTCCTGTTCCCAACTAATATTGGTATAAGATAATACATACCGGGTGATCTGACGTCCAATCATATATTTCTATACCTGGTCCAGGACCTTTCTCTCCTGCTACAAGAGTCATAACGGATACTGCAGGCATCAGTGAAGGTAACATAGATAGAACGGGAGAATTACAAACATACATGTGCGACTTAGATACTTCTAGCATTCAAAATGAGATGATTGGAAAATAGGATACACGGAAAAAGAAAGGTTTGGTGCATCTGGCATTTATTTCCACAAAACTAGCATTAACGTAGCCTAATTAAACCTACAAATGCTTGCATAAACAGCAAAAAAAATCAAAGTCTACTTATACAATTATGATATCTTACAACATAAAACATTTAAAAATGTATCTACCATCAATAGTCGAATTAATGCAATACAATGTATTATGAAAAGATTATGATTATACATTAACATTTTATTTGAAGTTTAATAGGACTTCAAGACATTTGTACTGTAGTAAAGATGTTGTAAATATTGTTTTCTATTTGGTAACTTTCATCGCGATTATTGGCCGTGTCTATAGCGTTTCAAGATTATTGTTTGAAGACTGTCATAAATAAGCCCGAGTATCGTCATATTTTATTACCACAACATTTTATGATTATTAAACATAACTGTAAATTTTTCAAATCTTGTAAAATGCATATATAAAGTGTAGACAAAGGAAAATAAGTTTCTTTAAATAGGAAATTTTTTTTTAGAATAAATGTCATATAGTAACGTGCAATAATAACTGGAATGCTAGCATACTACTGGGGGGAAATATATATAATACATTGTAAATAATATGTACATTTCTATACATGCAATTAGGTCTGTTCTGTGTTTATGTATAAATTAACCCTCAAATCATTATTCCGAATCAGAATTGTTGATATTGAACTTTTTAACATGTACATGTATATAAAGATACAGTGTTTATATTGGATACCCAAACCTTAAAAGAAAAAACTTACAGGTTCGTCGGAGGACCAGTGTTGTTTAGCTTTACCTGGCCCGGGACCCTTGGAATTTGCAACTACCGCCGCTATCACCACTGGCTCGAGTTAAGGTAATTGTAGTACCTAAGGACATATTAGTGTATCATTGGAAAAGACAATTTCAGAAAAACATGGCGAGGAGCTTGAGCTATACAATCCGCTTAAAATTTTCCATTAAAATGTTGTTGTTTTTTCTCTAGAAATACCATGACGGAAACATTTTGAGTAAATGTCTTACCTTACAAACGAAATCTAGGCCCCTTAGTAAGGATAGGTGATATGTTTTGCACAAAATTTAAATACAAGGGTGGATAAAAAAATACATGGCTTTTCGTTACATTAATTTTGTTTTTGCAGATAATAAGATCAATTATACATAGTAGTTATATATCGGCATTTTTATGTACATTGTATATGTTAAATTTGGTGCTAATGTTGCTTAAATTATTTTTAAATCAGAAACATTTAATCCACATGAACCTAAACGGACTGTATGACTGATTTGTGTCTGAAATGAAATAGTTAATCAAAGGATACACATAATAAGTAAAATAAAGTCTGCAATACACAGTAATATCCTAAACTTTGTTATAAAAAGAGTATTTCCGGCTATATTGAAAGACTGAGACTTATATGAAATTATCGTCTGCAGCACCATGTAAAAGAAGCCTACCACGAACGCCAGGAACGCACCAATCAGATGTACGGTTAAAACATTTGTTTCCTGAAATGTAAATTTGGTTTTAAAGGAAATAAAAATAAGAGATCATCAAGACATTTTTAAGAAAATGTTCCAAGGCATTCCATTTTTGTTTGGTATGTTTTAATAAAGACTCTTTGTTTCTTATAATTTATGTTACTTATTTCACAATTAAGATTATGAATTAAAATTGTCCTTTCTTTTATTACGACCATTATTATAAAATATAATTTTGCTCTAGATGAGGTAATACTATGTACAAATATAAGTAAAGTGTAAGCTATTGTTAATAAAAGAACAGAAAAACTAACATTTCTTAAAGACAGTGTACCCATTAGCATTTGAGAAAACAGGGGCGTATTAATAAATTTAATTTATTTTATGCTTTTCAGTGGATTACTGATTTATCCGTGAAATTTATATTTGATAATTTCACAGTAAAAATTATCAAAATATAATTTCACATGTTTCAATGACGAAACTACTTTTTAAGATTTTCCCCATGTGGTACCTCAATTTTATTTTTGCTGACAATTTTGACAATGTCAGGCTGTTTAAAGAAAAAGCAAAGCTGAAATTGATAAATAACTTAAATGTCAAAAGTAATAAAAAGAAGAAAACTAACTTCTATTCATTCAAATTCCAATCACCAAATTTCGTGTTTCATTTTTTACAGTCTGAAAAATACATTCCTACCACATGCAAAACTGCTCTTCATTACATTTGGGCATATTAAGTATCCTACAAGCAATAACTGCCGTATGCTTTATGAAAAATTGAAAAGCAATGACAGCCATCAGCTCGTTGAACAAGTAAACCACCGCGTTCCTGAGCCGGCTTCCAAGTTTTCCATTTTCCTAGCTGCTTTTTTTAATCTTTTCACATCTGTCAACACTTATTTTTTGTCTGTTACAATCCTCAAATAAGTTTTCTTTCTTTTAAAAAGGTGTATGACTAACAAATCCAAATGATATCCCTCTGAATCAAACACAATTAATTTCCCCCGTGAAATACACAACTTTAAAAAATGGCTGCCGCTTACATTTAACAAAGCCAGGTCTAATATAAATTCGCAGTAAGTAACAGAAATATGGATGGATGGGTGGACTTTTCTCCTTCAAGAATTGTTTGTTTTTATTATTAAAACAAGCGATCATTCATATTTTTTTAATTAAATGAATGGATTCACCGTCAGTTAACGTTGGTTGTCGAACTTATTTTCAGCTTAAGACTTCTTGTTTTTAATGAGAATTTCCGACTAAATGGGTCTCTCAATGGGGAAAATAGATTTTAATATTAAAGTTAATATTATGGAAATTTCGTTTTAACTTGTTTTTAAGCATAAAATAAAAAGATTTTTTTTTTGTTGTGTAAGATGTAATTTTATTTCATCTCGTGAACTTTAAAAACAGTATTCTCACTCGTGCTACGCCACTCGTGAGAATACTGTTTTTAACGGCCCACTCGATGAAATAAAATTTCATCTTACACACAAACAAACAAATATCCTCTATATCTGTTAGTAAATGCTCTATATTATTGAATAAATGGCAATAATATCAAATCTTAAAATTAATTTATTTTCAAAGAAATAATTTAAAAAGAGAGGAAAAGTAGGAAAATGTTTGATAAATAGACGTACCTGAAAATTACCAACTAAGCTAACACCAAATATTTTAAGCAATCCGATAATAAATGCAATGGTATTTAAACAGAGCAAACATCGTCTGCCGCTTCCCTCAAAATGATACAAACATTGTCTATATCTTGTATAAATTATGATTCCCGCTGCAAAACAAAATAAATTGAAACAGAAATAAAACGTTTACTTTTAATCAATTTATATAACATAATGAAATGATATAATTATGATAATGTTACAGACAAAATGTGTGTATATTAATTAAATCTGATTAAAATCAACTCTAAATAACGCTCCGCGTTTAGATCTGACCATCACCAAATACGGAGACACTTTTCAAATACTCAAATTATAGACGAGCGTTCATAATTTTGAAAGCGATTCTGTGTCTATTCTTAAAGGCTGGGAAGGTCATCATCACGATTTTAAGATATTACGCTGGAACAAACATGGCGTCGTCCATGAACGTAATTGGCGTCCGCGCCGAAGCGCGGCGCCCTTTTATGTAATGAAATCAGATTTTGTGAAAGGGCGACAGCAACTTCTCGAGCCTTTTATAGTTGTTCATAATAATAGCCGATCATTCCGATTGGTATGAGGGTGCTTGATTATTAATTAGTCGTGATTTGTACAATGAATAGCGAACTGGAGAATTTCGCAATGCAAACATTTTCAAATTAGAATCTAAATAACCTTTTCCGTCAATCAATCGCGCTCTTCAGGGTATTTCTATTTATCATTTTGTAGTACACAGTGGATTATTATGGTATGTTATTCCGAAAGTTGTAAATAGAATGATGAGTTGATGACCTAAATATTCCGAAAATCTATTTATAGATGGATGTACTCCTGTCGGTAAATCCCGGTCTCTCCTGGTCTATTTTGACGACCGGCGAATAGTACCACACGTTTATTGTCCGGTCTCTCCCGGTTTTGGAGTAGATGTTTGATATCGTAACAGAACAGAACAAATATTTTTACAGATAAACACGGATTTATTAATATAAATCCGTGAGATAAATAAGCTTTTTTTTCTTCAAAATGAATGTTTGTCACTTAGTTTGGTTACAATAATTAAGAAACACAGATCAACTCTCAAAATTATTGATTATTATTATAGATAAACATACAATTCGAAAAAAAAACCCAACAACACACATCGCATGTTTTATTTTATCTTTATGAGATAAAAACAATAAATATGTACAATAATTGAGAAAAAATGTACATTTTTATGGCATTAATATGACACTATCAACTTTGAAAATCAGATTTTATGAATTATTTAATTGATTGATAATTTAAGAAATGATAAAGAAAAATACAAATGTACATGTATATGGTTTAAGAATAAACAATATTATATATTGAAAGATTAACCATAATTTACTGACTTTTTGCAGTTAAGTTTTGACTTATAATCGTCGGTCATTATGACAATTGAATTCTTAAAATAATAGTAAACGTAAAAATTCAGTATTAAAATAGTGCATAAAACACAAAAAAGAAAAGCAAACAATATTCATAAAATCTGTATTTTTTTTATTAAAAAAGATATTACAATTAGTGTATAATAAACATTTATGCTCAACATGATCAACATGGTAATATAACAAGTGTCTTATTGTTACTAAGTGTGAACAGATACCTTAAGAGGGGGTCTTCGCTAATAGCGATAACATAATAAGGGACAATTACACAAGTGTGGTGTTGATCATGCGTTACTCAAATGGATTATAAATGATTGTATACATGTATATCCGTTGCTATTAATAATCACGATCATAAAGAAATAACAAGTAATATTCTAATTTCTAGCATGCCAATCAAATTTATAAATAATGAACAATGTCTTTCGTTCCTTCGTTCATAAGTGATATACAATTCTGGTAAAAACCAATGAACCATTGAACAGTTTATCAACATATATCTACTAGTTCATCTGCACCTGATGCATTTCTTGCTTGGACGCCCTTTGATGCTTTGCATCAATGCTTTTCTTGTTATCTATTGTTAGTAAGCTTGATATGTGTTCCCTAGTTCGGTAATAGTAAATATTAAATAGTAAAGTGATTGAAACAATCACCAATACACATGTGAAAATTCATTCAAAGTTTGTGTACTATTTTTATTGTAAGCCTGAAAAAATCCTAAGGTGGTGACCGGATTTTTGAACTCCGGACCTCTTGATTACAAGGCGAACACTCAACCATAGTGCTGTTTAAGGGTAAACCCAACAGCAAGGCTGTTGGAAATGACCTACACCTGTAATCACGGCGGGAGATTAGAATAGCTAATCGATATTATAGGAAAAACAAATCTTCTGAAAACACACTGTTATTAAAAACTAAACGCAATTGTTATAAAATTTCAAAAAAGAAAGCACGTGCAAAATACAATATAAATCAAAAGCAAAATCTACAATATTTAGCAAAACATCAACCAAAAATATTTTGGAAAGAAATACGTAAAATAAAAAATAAAAAATCAACAGCGAGTGACATTAGCAAAGAGGAATTTTTTGAACATTTTAAAACCCTTTTTTCAGCAGACAATGTATTTAGCAATGATGAAACAGAGAGTAATTTGGCTGAGGCTTGTTTAGAAGAGAATGTTATTTTACAATTAGATAAAGAGTTTACTATCTCAGAAACTGAAAAAGCAATTTCATCATTAAAGTGCGGGAAAAGCGGAGGTGTTGATAATTTAATAAGTGAGATTTTTTTAGAGTGTAAAGATATAATTACACCAACCCTTTGTAAATTGTTCAATTATATGTATATAAATTGTGTTTATCCTGAAACCTGGACAAAAGGAATTATTGTTCCCGTGCCTAAAAAGGGAAACTCTAGTGATGTAAATAATTATAGAGGCATTACTTTAACTAGTGTTTTTTCAAAAATATTTTCAATTATGTTAGATTCTCGCCTACGAGGGTGGGCAGAAAGTAATAATTTGCTGTCCGACTATCAATTTGGTTTTCGTAAAGATAAAAGCACTATAGACTGTATTTTTGCTCTTAACTCAATTATAAATAAAGTAATAAAAAATGAAAATAAAACATTATATTGTGCATTTATTGATTTTCGTAAAGCTTTTGATGTTGTTTATAGGAATGGTATATGGTTAAAACTAATAAAACACGGAGCGTCTTCTAGAATTGTAAATATGTTAAAAGTCATGTATGAAAATGTTAAAACATGTGTAAGAGTAAATGGCTCCTTAAGTGAATTTTTCGATTGTAACACAGGCGTTAAACAAGGAGAACCATTATCTCCTCTGTTGTTTATATTTTTTATTAATGATATGTATGACTTTTTATACGATGACAATATAGATTTTTTCTCTATTGAAGATTTAAAATTATTTCTTTTATTGTTTGCTGATGATACTGTGTTGTTCTCATATACAAAAGAAGGATTACAAATATTATTAGACAAACTACATTTATATTGTCAAAACTGGGGAATAACTGTTAACCCCGACAAGTCAGTTGTAATGATATGTAAAAAGGGCAATAGGCCTTCAAATGATGTTTTTCTTTACGATAATAAAATTCTTAATATTGTTAAAAACTTTGTATACTTGGGTGTAACAATTTCCTCAAACGGTAGCTTTAATCAAGCACAAAAATGTTTATCTGAGCAAGCCTTCAAGGCTTTATATGCACTCAACTCGCTTTTTGATAACTTGTCATTGAATGTTTCTGAAAAAATTAAACTGTTTGATTCTATGATAATGCCTATTCTTAACTATGGGTCTGAAATATGGGGCTTTCATAATTCACCAGATATTGAGCGAGTTCATAAAAAGTTTATGAAGCAAGTTTTAGGTGTTAGACAACAAACATGTAATGCTACCGTATATGGTGAATTAGGTAGAGTTCCCCTTCTTGTTTTACGTAAGATTAGTATTGTAAAGTTTTGGTTTAGAACTGCTAAGAATCCAGATTCGTTTTTGTATAAACTTATGATGATGACAGATAATAACAATCAGTTTGTTAATAAATGGACCAATGATGTAAAATGTCTCCTTCAAGACTTAGGCTTTTCTTACTTATTTGATAACCCGCATTCTATTTTTCTTAAGTCTATTATCCAACGTATATATGATCAATATTATCAACAATGGTTTTCTGAAATTAATAATTCTAGCAAACTTGATACGTATAGTTTAATTAAAACACGTTTGGAAAAGAGAAGTATCTTGATTGTATTATAAATAATAGATATAGAATAGCCCTTTCACGTTTTAGATGTTCTGCTCATAAATTAATGATTGAAGAAGGAAGATTTAGAAATATTGAAAGAAATCAACGATTTTGTTTAAAATGCAATATGAATGTAGTGGAAACGGAATATCATTTTTTACTTGCTTGTCCGTATTACATTGATCTACGAAGAGAATATTTACCTAAATACTACTGCTCTTGGCCAAATGTACACAAATTTAAAATGTTAATGAATAACTCACAACAGAATGTTATAAAGAAATTATCACAATTTATTTACTATGCAACTTTAGCTAGAGAAACAACTGGTAGCTAATTCCAACTAATTTCAAACATTAATTATAATAGTCTTAATATTTATTTCATGACTGTGATATTATATATGTAATATTACTTTTCTCGTATTTAGATCTTTTATGCATTTGTTAATATGTTAATATGTTTATATGTATGTATACACGCCATTATTGTTTATGGCAATAGACATTATGTTTGTGCCTTAATAAAATCTCTTGAATCTTGAATACACCTTCAATAACAGAATTCACACTTGTAATAAGAGATTAAAACACTGCAGAGTAGGACCGGAAGGTGATAGATCTAATAAAAAAACACACACACACACTTTGAAATTTCTTTTGTTGAAATTCCTGTTTACTTTTTGTATGTTCAAAGTACTACTGTAGAATCTAGAAACAAGTTTTTTAAATGGGTCATTCTATTAAACTTTCCTATTTAGATACAAATAAATGCAAATATATGAATATATAAAGAAAGTACTATGTAAGTAAAATCAGTTTGTATTTACACTTATGGGAGTGTAAAACACTTTTAATCATATACATATTTTATAAAAATCGACGAAATATATGAAACCTGCAAAAAATTGTATGTCCCAATTCCTAGGTGGCATAA